ACCTGGCAAATTCCTCTTGGGTTATCAGCCTCGAGGCAAACCAAGGTAAAGGAGAGATAAGCCCAGCAGCTAGACTGCTGCCAGCACCACACCCCTGATTTTTCTTCTGGTTCTGTCAGTATCCCTCCTAAGTCAGGCCTCCCTTTATCCAAAGTGTGTCCTCCTGACAGGATCCATGTCTAGTAGTCAGTCTCACCCAGGAGACTCCTACATTTCTAACCAGCTGGCTGCCACAAGCAGTACTGCTCTGTGCAAGGGGTGTCACTAGGTAGAGTGTGAGCAGTGACTGATAGATTTCCTTCAAGGAAAGGCAAGGTGTTTTGGAGCTCTTCTTTGAGAGCGGGATGAGAATATCTTGGTTAGGTCTGCCTGTTCATTTTCAGTCCAGCCATCACCTGAGTTTGTAAGCCGTGCCTGTTCTGTGACCTGTTAGTTTGAGGGTGCTGGAAGCTGGTGTGGCTCTGAAGCAGCCTTTGATCTCCTGTACTCTCTTGCATTCGCTGCTCCTCGCAGGATAGAGTATGTGACAGTGACACCAGAAGGATTCCGCTACCGGGGCCAGGTCTTCCCTACAGTGAATGGACTCTTCCGATGGTTTAAGGATCATTATCAGGACCCTGTTCCAGGTGAGCACCCCGAAATCTGAGTGTCTCAGCTGTTTCAAAGCAGTACTCAGCTTTTTGTCTTCCATGGAGCTGTGAAGAGCTCACCTGACAGTTGATCTTTCAGCTGAGTGGGTCATGCAGCAAAGGCTGGATTTGGCCTTTTCCTCTCCCTTAGCCTTCCCCACCATACAATCCTGCCCACACCATGCCCTGCTAAGGCAGGATCTTGCCAGAACAAATGTTTCCACTTTTTTTTTTTAACGTTTAGTTTAAGCCAATGGCTTTTCTTTGGGGAAAATGAATCCATCTCTTTTGTCTCGTGTTTTGTACAGGTATTACTCCCAGCAGTAGCAGTCGGACCAGGACTCCAGCCTCCATTAATGCTACTCCAGCTAACATTAACCTGGCAGGTCAGTGTGGGCCTTTTCTGGCTTGGAATTGGGGCACAGGGTCCTTCCCCAGGCTCTCTCTGTCTAACATAACGGCCTTTCTTGCAGACCTGACCCGTGCAGTGAATGCTCTACCCCAGAACATGACTTCCCAGATGTTCAGTGCCATTGCTGCTGTGACAGGGCAGGGGCAGAACCCAAATGCCACCCCTGCACAGTGGGCATCCAGTCAGTATGGCTACGGAGGCAGTGGAGGTGGCAGCAGCGCGTACCACGTAGGTGCACTTTTTAAGCCTTTGAAGGGAGTTGAGGCAAACAGCAGATCGGTCTGGCTCCTGAGGAATGTGGCAGGGTAGAGAGAGGGGATCCAGCGGTGCAGGCACACAGCTTTCTGTGATTGTGGCCCTCTTTCGACAGCGTGAGCTGCCAGAGGAAAGAGATTAGCTGTGAAGTTATGTGCTGAGTTTGCAGGGCTTTTCAGCTCAGCGTGCTAATCTCTGAGCCGCACCGGCAGGCGAGCACCTCAGCCTGACTGAACACCCACAGGCTTTGCATTGAGTGAGATGAAGGTGAACAGTTTCAGCTCGTGCTGAAGCCTTTCCTGATGCATGCTGGTGCCTACCTCCACCAGCACGCATTGCCAGCTCCCCAGCTGACCCTGAGGCAAAATCCAGCTGCACGGAGGTGCCTGGGTACAGGAAACACACCCTGCCAGCAGAGAGATCTAACAGAGAGGTGCTGCAAGACAAGGCTTGCGTGGAGGAGTGATCCTCTTTTGGACCACCTTGGGAGGCTTTCATGGAGTTTGGCAGAAGTGTTGAGCTGAGGGTAGGCAGGGACTGTGGATAACCCAGTGTATTAAGGGGATCTGAAGGGAGGTGAACAACATGAGGCAAAGAGACTGAGTGCTCTGTTGGGCAAACAGTGAGCCAGCCAGTTGGGACTGGGAGGGAGCTGTCTTTTCTGCAGCCCACTGTGGCAGAAAATCAAGGCAAATGTGTCTGTTTTTCATGCCCACTCAGATATGTTGTTTGTGCAAGCTTTCCCAAGTATCTCCTGTGCCTGTCTCTCTTCTGGTCCTCGCCTTTGCTCGGTTTCAATGTCTCCCCTCATACCCAGTGGGGAAGGCTGGCTGGTTTATGAGTGGAGACTCTAGGGGGAACAACAGGACTCAGAAATCTCCTGTGCTTAGCAGGGTGTTCCTCGTTCTGCCCTGCAGCCCCTCGTTCCTTGGGCTGTGATCATTGCAAACCTCTCCTTGCTCAGATGAGGGGCTCCAGCAGGCCTAGGAGAGCGCAGCAAGGACATGCAGCAGCAAGCAGAGCAGTGGGGAGCGTGCCAGATCTCTGCCTCACAGCCCAGCAGTTTTCCTCTGTCTCCTAACAATATCTGCTCCCTGCAGGTCTTCACAACTCCAGCGCAGCAACCGGTGGCCACCCCTCTGATGACCCCCAGTTACTCCTACACCACCCCCAGCCAGCCGATCACAACGCCCCAGTACCAGCTCCAGGCCAACACCACACCGCAATCCACACAGTCCCAGGCACAGTCACAGCCCTCATCCAGTTCCAGACAGAGGCAGCAGCCAAAGTGAGTGGAAGAGTCGCATGCGTGTCTGTGTTGGTTGCTTTCATGGTAGCACTGCAGCAGGGCTGCTGTGAGTTCTCCCCCGTGGGGCAGCGGGGAGGGAGGGCAGGGAAAGCTGCCCCAGTTTTTCTTGCCCGTGGCACATCTCACCTCCTGCCCGTGTCGTTACAGGACCAACAGTCACGCTGCCATCGACTGGGGGAAGATGGCCGAGCAGTGGCTCCAGGAGAAGGAGGCTGAGCGGAGGAAACAGAAGCAGAGGTTGACTCCTCGCCCGTCTCCCAGCCCCATGATTGAGAGCACACCCATGTCCATCGCCGGGGACGCCACACCACTGCTGGATGAGATGGACCGATAGGCCGTGCTGGACCTGACCCCGACCCTCCGTTCCCTTCTCTAGGAAGGGGAAGGGAGAGCAAAAGTTGAACACGGCCTCCCTTCCCTCAGCCACGTAACTCCTGTTTTATACATCGTGAGATGGTGGGGAAACGACTCGTGGTGATGTGCACCTGAGTGAACGAACAGACTTGGCAGAGCTGGTCTAAATATGTATACTATATATATATATAAATATTTCATAGGAAAGGACAGCTGCAGCGGCCTCTGTGTCCCAGGTCCTGGCTCACCACTTGGGTGGAGCAAATCTGTCCTTCTGTGCGCACAGCAGTGCTGTCACTGCGACCACGAGGAAGCAAACCCAGCAGGATCTGCACACCGCTGGCCTGGAGTGAGCCTGTCCTATTTGGACTCTCCCATGCCCCGACCGTCTCCTCTCCTCATCCAGGGAGCACGAAGCGAAGTCACTGGGGTTGTGACAAGTGAACCAGAGTTCTCAAAGGGTTTCTGTTGCTGTTTGCTCCGTGATCTCACACGTAGCAGGCTCTGCAAAGTCTGTGCCACCCTGCAGCCAGGACACGGCAGCTCTGGGGCTTAGGGCTCACGCCAGAGAGAAACGCAGCTGTTGTACCAAAGGCTTGCTCTCCTCTGGCTTCTTTTGGAACAATATTTATTTAGTTTGTTTTGTTTTTGTGGGGTTTTCTGTTGTTTTGTTTTGTTTTTTTAATCAGACTGCAAAGCAAAACCCCGGGCAGCAGCAGCTTAGCACAGGACAGACGCATGGGCTGAAACACTGCAAGAGCTCCTATGGTGGAGAGCACCCAAAGCAGCTGAGAGTGCATGGCACCCTCCTCCATATCAACTTCCTCCTGTCCAGCTGTAACCAGAAGGGGTGAATAAACTGTATTTCTACGCTGGTTGAGAGGTTTTGTCTGCCCTCTCTTAGCGACGGATTTGCCGTGGAAGGTGGTGAAAGTCACTGCTCCTCCTTCCTGTGGTGCTTGGAGGCTGAAACTTCTGCAGAGAAGCTGATTTGTGTGAAGCTGATCAAAACAGATACGTCCAGACGTCGCACCCACATAGCAGGCACTGCCTGAGCTCACAGCTCTCACTGCCTGCGAGAGACCCCTGGGCTGGGAGCACGGAGCTGCGGTCCCAGCGGGAGCAGCTGCAGTGCAATGGAGAGATGGTTCTGAACTGGAAAGTTTTCTTTGCTGCACACTTTTCTCCTTTCCTCTTTTGTTAGTGAAGGTTTTCTATGGATGCAGAGCCTTTGTTTCTCCCGGGGCTCCCGGTTCGCCTCCTCTTCGCTAGGAAATGAGCAAGAACCTCAGCCCCGCTTCAACAAAGGGCTTTTTGCATGTAAATGCTCCTGAAGAATGGCAGCAGCACAGGGGACAAAGCAGACACTGAGCCATGCGCTCCCGTTCCGGGGCTGACATCGCGATCTGCAGCCCCGCAAGGGTGGGATGGGGCCTCTGCCTGCCTGGGTGGGGGGCAGCCCTGCTATAACCTTCCGCTATTTTCTTTCTTTCTTTTTTTTATTTCATGAAATTCGATGGCAGGATTCTGACTGGGAGCAGCTCTTTACCGGAGCCATACTGAGGAGGGGCGGGGGGGGGCTGACTGAGTGCTGTCGGCTCCTTTCCGGCCCTCTTTGTTTTTAGTTTTCCCAATTAAAAAGTTCTACTTTTGGGAAACTACCTGAATCCGGCCTGTCTGTGCATCCTGCATCTGTGCTGTGCTCACAGCATCCCTGATGGGGCGGGAAGGGGAACGGCTCAGCCCTGTGCACTGCTGTGACTGCCATCCTCAGAGCCACAACCAGAGCCAGTGTGAGCGATGAGGTGCAGCTGGAGCCCACGTATCTCTTCCTCACATGGCCCTGCAGACCTTGGGTTCTTCCTTGCTGTCATACACCAGGACCAGACCCGTGTGTCGGATGGGCACCGCTGCCCCATATCCCCCCTCTCTGGCCCCGCCGTGGCTCTCGCCCCACAGACCCCCAAGCACTGCAGTGGCTGCTCATTACCCACTTTATTCATTAACACAACCAGGGCCCCCCCCAGGGTGGGCATGGGGCTCACGCTGCCTCAGTGTTGCTTTTCAGCCTCTTCTTTCTGTTCCTCTCCTTCCTCCTCCTCTTCCTGCTGCCCTGTCCCCCTGAGCTGGGGGGAATGGGGGGGATGGATGCGGCGTGGCTCAGCTCCCCAATTCCAGAAGGGCTCTTCTTCAAACTTTTCCCCTTCTTCCTCTTCTCCTTCATCCTTTTCCTCGCTTTCACAGCTGGGGGATCCAGGGGTTCCCCCCCAGGCCACGCCGCCCTGTCAATGAGCTCCCCACCAAACTCATACAGCACCGGCTCCTTGGGCACCGCCACGGCCACCGTGTTGTACGCCCTGCACCTGGGGACAGCGAGACAGCACGGGTCAGAGACAGCAACAGCAGATCCCAAACCAGGGGGTGTCACTCACCACACGTAGAGGTACGGCTGCACGCACTCCTCCTTGTAGGCAAACTCAAAGCACGGCACCTGGATGACGTTGAAGAACGCCTGTCCCACCACGCGCGACGCCGTGTCGTTCACCTGCTGCAGGCACTCCTTCAGCCTGCACCCAAACGAGGGTCAGGAGGGGGAGAACCCCGCTGCCATCCCCCCCCAATCTCAACTATGGGGGTCAGGGCTGCTCACCGGCGGTCGCAGTCGCAGTGGCTGATGGTGTGCCAGCGCAGGTTGCGGTAACCGTAGCGGGAGGTGAAGGGGTGGATGACGTGCTGGCAGTGGTCATGGTCACGGCAGCAGCGGTCGGTGTCACGGTGCTCACCTGTGGGGTGAGGGCTGAGGGTAGGGCTGGGGAGGGGGCTGCGTGCAGCTGGGATGGTGTTGGGATTGGGGATGGGGATGGGGGCTGCGCTGGGTGAGGATTGGGATCGGAAACGGTGGCGGGATGGAAAGGAGCAAGATTGGGGCTGGGATGGGGTCAGAGTTGAGATAGGGTCAGGATTTGGGCTTCAGTGGGATTGGGGGTTGGGATTGGGGCTGAGATGGAATTGGGGATGGGATTGGGACTGCGATGGAGTCGGATAGGGGTTAGGATGGGGTCAGATTTGGAGATGGGGTTGAGATTGGAGCTGGGATGAAATGATGGAGATGGATGTTGTTGAGATGGATGATGTTGAGATGGAGTCAGGGATGAAAAGGGGTTGGGATCAGGGATGGGATGAGGTCAGGAATGGAAAGGAGCAGGACTGGAGCTGGGATGGAGTCAGGGATGAAATGGGGTAGGGATCAGAGATGGGATGAGGTCTGGGATGGAAAGGAGTAGTACTGGGGCTGGGATGGGGTCAGGGTTGAGATGGGGTCAGGATTTGGGCTTCAGTGGGATTGGGGGCTGGAATGGGGTTGGGATTGGGGATGAGATGAAATTGGATAAGGGATGGAATGGGGTCAGAGTTGGGGATGGGATCAGAGCTGGAGATGAGGTCAAGATCAGAGCTGGGATGGGGTCAGGGATGAAATGGGGTTGGGATCAGGGATGGGATAGGGTCACGGATGGAATGGGTTTGGGACTGGGGATGGGTGGCTGGAGAAGCCACATTGGGTAAGAATGGGGATCAGAACTGTACTAGAAATGGCACTGGGATCAGACTGGGATGAATGAGGGCAGGCAGCAGGATGGGGATTGGGACTGGATCAGCACCACCCTGCTGATCAGGATGGAGTGGGTTGGGCTGGGATCGGTCTGAGATGAGCACCAGGATGGAGACCGGGCCGAGAGCAGAGTAAGGACTGGGTACGGAGCGTGTTGGACAGCAGCAGTAGGGGGATCGCTCTGGAGAGGGCTGGGAGAGGAGCAGCACGTGGGGAATAGGATAGCAGAGAGATGAATGGACAGGGACAAAGCTGGGGATAGGGGTGGAGATGGGTCCCCGGTCCTGTGCTGGGGAGCGGAGCAGCACTGGGGGGGTAGGTCTCACCATGGGGTGGGTTTAGGCACAGCTCCTTACCCAGCTGCTCGTAGCTGTCCGCGTTGCTCCCAGCGCCGCACCACAGCGTCCCGGGGTAGGTGAGCCCTCGGCGGGCACGGGGCCGCCCCGACGGGGCCACTGCGGGGCTGGGGGCCGCCAACAGCGGGAGGAGGAGGAGGAAGAGGAGGAGGGGGAGGAAGAAGCAGCGCGGGACGCACATGGCATCGCGGGGCCACCGCTGCTGCGGGGCCGCCTTATAGCGGAGCGCGGCACGGCATGGCCCGCCCACCGCGGGGCGGCACGGCTCGGCTCGGCTCGGCTCGGCACAGCGCAGCATTGCACGGCCCGGCTCTGCCCCGCGGCAGCTCTGTCCATCCCCGTATCCCGGTGCCCGCTCATCAAGGCTGCCAGCTCCCTTCCCCGCCCGCTGCCAGCCCTCGGACGGAGCCCATTTGCAATCAGGACGCGGCGCCCGTCCCGTGGAGCGACGCTTTGGCAGAGCTGGATGGTGCCCGAGTGTGGACGTGTGCGGCCTCGAGAAGTCCTTGTGTTGGCTCGGACCCCAAATGTGCCCGTGGGGCTGCACCCCGAGCACCGCTCTGGCTCCTCCAAACCCCGCACCCGTGGGATGCCCACACAGCTCCCTGTGGGGATGTGCAGGGGGCTGGGGGTGTCACACCGGGACGGCTGTGGGCACAGCTCCCTGCTGGCCCCATCCCAGCTCCCCGCTGTCCGAAGGTGTTGGCGGGGGCCCAGAGCTACGGGGCAGCCCCTGCTCAGCTGTTGCTGTCTGTGACACTCCCCATGACGGTCCCATACTGGGTACGGAGCATGCGTAGGGACACCAACGGGGCAATCGGAGGGGACATTAAACCCTATGGGGTGTGAATTCACCCCTTGGCAAGCCAACAGCACCCTACGCATGGACCTGCGCCACGTCCCCGCTGCCCGGGAGAAGGGCTGGTACCTGGCACTGATGGCCCCCAACACCAAAGGTCCCCACTACGCGTGGCTGGACCCGTCCCGGCTCTACTGCCATCCGCAAGTACCCAGCGACCACACGGGGGGCACCAAGGGGGTGGCACCGGGGGGGGGGGCTGTGGGGACACCCAGCACCTCCATATCTACCTTCCCAGGGCTTGAAGGACTGCGTGACCGATCTGCTGCAACCCTTCCATGGAGATCCCATTGACCTGGTGGCCGGCATCGATGCCATGGGCTTCATTCTGGGTAAGGGGGGGATGCTGGGGGGGTCCCCGATTCTTGTTCCTATGGTGGGTGACAGTGCCATCCCCAGGTGCCGCCGTGGCTGCCACGCTGCATAAAGGCTTCTTGGCCATCCGCAAAGCCGGGCACCTCTGCGTGGAGACGTTGGCAGAGCCCTACACCGACTATTCGGGTCGGGAGAAGGTGATGGAGGTGCGCACCGACACCGTAACACCGGGTGAGCTGAGCCCGTGGGGTGGGCAGTCCTGCAGTGGGGCGACAATGGACGCTGGGATACAGCTCTGCCCGTCCCCAGGTATGCGCATCCTCCTGGTGGATCAGTGGGTGGAAACTGGGGGCACCATGCGAGCGGCCATCCAGCTGGTGGAGCGCCAAGGGGGGGTCGTGGCAGGTAGGATGGGCACCGGGGGGGGGGGAGCAGCCATAGGTGATGCAGGGGCTGACACTGAGCCCTCATTGCATCCCGCAGGCGTCGCAGCCATCTGCATCGAAGACAGCGAGGGAGGGCGGTGGATTCGGGAGCGCTACAAGTGTGCCCACTGCGTGCCCCCCCGCCTGCAGCCCCGCTTCAACCAACACCAGATGGGTTGGGAGTGAGGCTTGGCACCACAACGGCTCTTTCTTCCCACCCACCAGCCCGACGGCTTCCTTAAAAAGCATAAAAAAATCATTTTATTACAACGAAGGCTGGGGGTGTCCCTTCTGGGGGGGTTTGCATAGCTATGGGATGCCCCCACCCGCCAGGGCCGCTGCTCTTTGGTACGGAGATACGGGGTGCTGCGGGGCTCACTGGCAGCATTTGGGCTTCTTGCGGGGTGCTGACAGGTACAGGTCGCTCTCGGTGCTGCCGATGCCTGCAGGATGTAGGGGTTAGGGTTAGGGTTAGGGTTAGGGTTAGGGTTAGGGTTAGGGTTAGGGTTAGGTGGGTGGGTGGGTGGGGGGATAGCCATGGAGGGGGGGTTTGTGAGTACTCACGCACGGCATCGCCGATCCGCCGCGCACTGCCGCGTTCCAGCTCTGCCAACACACTGCTCTCAAAGGTCAGTGCTGCCACACGGAAGAAGAAATCCCTCACGTTCTCTCCTGCCCCATAGAAAAAGACTCCTGAGCTCCAGCGGGGGGTCACCTCGCCCCCATCCCCCTCCAGCTTTGGCCATGTCCCAACCTGTGAGTGAGGACACAGCCCAGAACTCTGCCTGCATCTCCTGGGCCACTTTGAGTGCATCCTTCTCCATCTGGCTGTACTGCGCCGGTGTCTGCCAAGGGAGCAAGGGTGGGCAATGGGGACGGCCCCACGGCACAGGGAAAGCCCACGGGAGGGGGACACACTCACGCTCAGGTCCTTCTTGGAGCCCACCAGGAAGAGGATGACGTTGGAGGGATCGTTCTCCTTCAAGGCATCTGCCAACCACTGCCTGTGGGGCCACATCGCCATGCTGCCGAGCGCTGCCCTCTCGTTTGCACAAAGGAGGTGACACCAACCCCACAGCCACCTCCAGGCCCACTGTATCCCACGTGCCACCTACCGTGTGTGGTCCAGGGATGCCACATCATTGACATCAAAGACGATGACGATGGCTGTTGGGGGGGATGAAGTGAGCTACGGGGACGGAGGTGGTCGGAGGGGACGTGGGGATGGTTGGTGGGGATTTGGGGGGGGTCTCACCTTGTGCTCCCCGGTAGTAGGTGGAGGCGATGCACTTGAAGCGCTCCTGCCCAGCCGTGTCCCATCTGGGTGGGTGGTAGGGGGGGGTCAGCAAGAGCTGTTGTGTGGAAGGGGGGGATGACACAACACCAGTGCTACTCACAGCTGCAGGCTGAAGGGCACCCCCAGCACCTCAAAGCGCTCCATCTCAAAGTCCACCCCGATGGTCGCCTTGTAGTTCTTGTCAAAGGTGTCCTTGCAAAAACTGTTGGCGGGGGGATCGAGCAGGATGAGCGTCAGCCCTGGGAGGGGGGAGGGTCCTCCCACTGCAGCCCCCCCCCGGCATCCCTTCCGTCGGGGTTACCGGTTGATAAGGCAGGTCTTCCCCACCGCCAGGTCCCCCACCACGATGATCTTGGAGATCTTGAAGCTGTGGGAGCACAGACATTGCAGGAAGGGGGGGGGCACACAGTCGGCTCCTGGGATAAGCACCGCTTTGGGGGACCACCCGCACCCCCCTGCAGCACAACACCCCCCATCTCTCCGCCCCTCCCCTCAACCCCCCCACCCCACCCCCCCCCGCCGCATTCCTGTGCCGTGACGCAGCCCTGCAGCGCCGCAGCCACGCGGCGTCTTCCTGCCGGGACCCCCCAGTTTGTGTAGGGCGGACAAACCCATGGACCTCCCCGTCCCCATCCCAGCCTCACCCCACAGTGCCCGTCCGCTGCTCCTGGCAGGCGCTGGTCACACTGGAATGGAATTCGGGGCGGGTGTGCAGGGCGGCCTCCTTCCGAAAGCACTGCGGTGTGTGTTTGGGGGGATGGGGGGGGGGGGAAACAAAGGGGACCCAGTGAGGCTGTGGGTCGGGGAGGCCTCCCCCCCCGGGTGCTGTCCCCTCCCCACTCACCTGCGGCAGATCGGCCACCACTCTGTCCCTGCGCACCGGGGCCAGCACGTTCATGGTGCCCCACGGCCGGAGGGATGGGATGGGCGGGATGGAGCGGGGCTGAGGGAACCGCTAGGCCTGCGGAGATGGGGTGGGACGGGGGGAGCGGTGCTGTGGCTGTGTCCCAGATCCTGATGTCACCACATCCCCAAGTTCTGCTGTCTCCATGTCCCCACGTCCCACTGTCCCCATGTCCCCAAACTGTGCTGTCTCCACGTCCCCAAATCCCGCTGTTCCCCGTATCTCCAAATCCCACTGTCCCCTTGTCCCCATATCCCACTGTCCCCTTGTCCCCACATCCCATTGTCCCCAATTTTCTCTGTCCCCATGTCCCCAAATTATGCTGTCTCCATGTCCCCAGGTCCCATGTCTCACTGTCCCCAAATCCCACTGTCCCTGTGTCTCTAAGTCCTGCTATCCCCAGGTCCCACCATCCCCACGTCCCCAAACCTCACCATCCCCACATCCCCGCAGATCCTGCTGTCCCCGTGCGCCCACGTCCCGCTGTCCCCATGTAAAGCGTCCCGGAAGGCGCCCATCCCCACGTCCCCACCTCTCCCCATCCCGCTTATCCCCACGTCCCCCTGGGTGCCACTCCGGCACACAGACGTCTCCCCGTCCCAGCTGTCCCCGTACTCCGGCGCCGCACCCCGGGGTTTCGCTGTCCCTCCTCCCAGCTGTCCCCTGTCCCCTCCCGGCGGTACCGAGGGGCGATCCCCGTTCCCCCGCCCCTCCGGCTCCGCTCGGTGCTCAGCGCCGCACACTCCGCCCCGGAGGCATCGGCGTCCACGCCCCGCCCCGACCCGGGAGGGAACCGGGACTACAACTCCCATGATGCCCCGGGGGGAGCGATGTGCGCACGCGCAACAGAGGCCCCTCCCCCAAGACTACCCTTCCCGGCAAGCCCCGCTGCGAGACGGAAGGGAAATCTCGCGAGGTTTGGAGCTAATAAGCCCGTGCGGCGCGGCGAGGGAAGCCCCTTTTGGCTCCTGGCTGCCCAAGATGGCGCCCAAAGCGAAGAAGGAGGGTGAGGGCGGGCGGACGTGGCGGGCTCTGAGGAGGGCGGGCGCCGGGCTACGAGGCCCCGCGGGGTGCGGTGGGGCTGTGGAGGTCGGGCTGAGGGGATCGCGGGGTGCTGGAGGGCCGCGGGGCGGCGCTGGTCCGCGGGCACGTGGAGGGCTCGGGGGAGGCCCACAGCGGCCGGCCTGGGCTGGTTACGTGAGGGCAGAGGGGAGAACTCAGCCGGGTTGTTGTGAACGAGGCACTCGCTGCCTGAGGAGCTGTTTGGACACAAATCGCCCGTCGGGGTGCCTCATGAGGAGATGCGGCCCGCTGGGGCAGGCGGAGGGGCTGCTGGGCACGCAGACCTGCTTTGCGCTGACTGAGGTGTTGTCACAGCCGTGCCGCCCAAGACGGAGGCGAAGGCCAAAGCGCTGAAGGCCAAGAAGGCCGTCCTGAAAGGAGTCCACAGCCACAAGAAGAAGAAGATCCGCACGTCGCCCACCTTCAGGAGGCCCAAGACCCTGCGCCTGCGGCGGCAGCCCAAATACCCCCGGAAGAGCGCCCCGAGGAGAAACAAGTACGTGGGGTGGTGGGGCCTGGCAGGGCTTTGTGTGTGGGGACGGCCCCTCTGCGGGTCCCACGGTAAGGCCTTGCCCATGTGCTGCCTTTGGAGCTGAGCCACGTTTTCACTGCAGAGCATCGGGGTGCAAGTGATGATTTCAAGCGACCAAAGCCTGAGAGTTTGTGATTAGAGCTTTTTTGGTAACTGATGTACCCCGGTTACTTCTAGATGATAACTGATATTTTAAAATTCCTGATGCGTACACACAGCTTCTGCAATCCTTTTTTAAGCTGAGGCAATCTTTCTTGCAGGCTTGACCATTATGCCATTATCAAGTTCCCTTTGACCACAGAATCGGCAATGAAGAAGATAGAGGATAACAATACTCTTGTTTTCATCGTCGATGTCAAGGCGAACAAGCACCAGATCAAACAGGCAGTCAAGAAGCTGTATGATATCGATGTGGCCAAGGTCAACACCTTGATAAGGTAAGGGGGAGAGCAGTCACCATTGTAGGAAATTTGGACATGTGTGAGTATGGAATTAAACTCTGTAGTGTTCTCAGTGCTAAAGCTGTGATAAATAAAATCTAATGACTGAACACATCGTAGTGGGAGTTTAAAGTGGTGTTATGTCAGAAAGTTGGCTTCTTCTGGGAGTCCTGCAGGATTTCCGTGCAGATGATGTGAACAATTTTTTACCTCTGAGTAAACTGATGTTTCCAAAGGAACCACTGATGCACACCGTTACAATAGGAATGTGGAATAGGTTGGAGGATTTGTGTGCCTCAGTACTGATGCCTCCTGTTCCACTCTAGGCCTGATGGGGAGAAGAAGGCTTACGTCCGACTGGCTCCCGACTACGATGCCCTGGATGTGGCCAACAAGGTGAGCGATATTTGAAGCTGTCAGCTCCCATCTGCTGCCTCAGATTTGCTGTACCTCCTTCTTGGTGTGTACGTGAGGCACTTGTGCTTAGAGCACGCCAGTGCTGCTGCGGAGTAGTTTGCAGTTAGGTAGGATTGTAGGGTGGTTAAGCAAGAACAAATGCTGTCTGATAAAACCTTGTTCTGCCTGTATGAGGTCAGGGGAGTTAAAGACAGAGCTGCAGTTCTTCCTCTCCTCCAGGGAGGGGCTCCACTCCACAGGGCTGCGTGAATTTTAAAGTACTGAGGAGGATGCAGAAACTGCCTCAGGGTGAAGTGGTGCCTGTTCTAATAGTGTTCACAGACAGAGACGTTGGCAGCGCTCTTCAGAAAGGAGGACGTGCTGTCACAAGCACTGCTAGGGCCTGGGTGAGGGATTGCTGCTGTGCAGGTGGCTCTGCTGCTGGAAATGATCAGGTGGTTTGGTCCTTGATGGCTGTGGGAAGCAGGAGGCTGTGGTGGTAGGTGTTGGAGGTGGGGAAGGTGGCTGTAAGGATTAACATGAGAGTCACAGTGGAGCAGATGAATACATCAGCTGTGTGAGGCACTGGGCGAGTCTGGTAGGAAGAAACCTGTTTCCAGAGGAAGGAATCCTGGGGAGATGCAGCTGTGTCAGTGATGGTGGAGGCTCTGCCTTTCTGCCACCATAACATCTGTTTTAACATCTTTTGCTTCTTTCCAGATTGGAATCATCTAAACTGCATCTACCAAGGACTGTACAGACAGGATAATAAACCCTGTAAAACCACTGAGGGGCTCTTGGTGTTTTGTGACTACGTAGCCCATGCAGGAGAGCTCCCAGGAAACTGTTGAGGCTTCATTTCAGTAAACAGTGTCCCTCCCTCCCTCCTGCTGAGGCACTTGGCAGAAGCTGGCTGCTCTGAGAGGCTCACAGTGCTGGCCCACACCTCACACTTCATTGCTGGGCTCTCCTGCATCACTGACATGTTCTCTGCCTGCTGTGGGTAAACATCAGTGAGCTGGCACTCCCCTGAATTGCAAATCGCTCTGTTTACATCAGTAGGATTTCAGAATAATGCATTTTGCTGCGTAATTATTCATACCTGTTTGTGGTGCTGGTTCTCAGCATCCTCCAGACTTCCTTGTGGAGCGCGCCACAAGCTGCTCAGTGCCCAGGAACAGGCAGGTACAAACTGCAGCAGAATGTGTGCGTGGTTCTCAACTTCTATCACCTGTTAGCTTAGGCTGCAGGTTTCTCTGGACAAAGCCCTCAGGCAAACCCAATCAAGTGCTTAGTGTAGTTGCTTTTTTTCTTTCTTTCTGGCATGATCCATGCTCCCCTCGCTGCAGCATGTGAATCGCAGCCTGCTTTCTCTGACACAGTTCCTGTTGTGCTGCCTGTGACCTTGCTGAGTTTGCTGTCCTCACCAGGGCTGTTTATAGACTAGCTGCTGTTGTTGCCTTGGCAGTCGTTTATTTCCTCAACCAGCTTTTTGGAGTGCTTGGAGAGTCGCAGGAATGTGGAGCACTGGGTGAGGAGGAAGTAGATGGGAAGCGTGGATAAGCCTGTAGGAATACTTAGCATGAAGTGTGTAGTTTGGCTTTAGGGAAGAAAGCTATGACCAAATATTGACTGGGGCAGTTGAATTTTTGGGTGGTGGGACACCAGGTTCCCTTCATGCCTTCTGGGAGTGCTGGAATCCTGAGCTCAGTAGTGGTGAATGGCGAGGGGAGGCTGTTCTGGTTGCCACTGCTTTGGAGGCTGGATAAAGATCTGCTGTGGGCTGAGCTGCACAGCACTGCAGGGACCTGGGTCAGATGTGCTCTTTCGTGGGGCTGGGTCTGATGTTCCTTCTGGCTTTTGGAAGCCACCTGCCTAAAACTCCTGCCTGTGGCCTCAGCGCTGTGGAAAGGGGACAAGCAGCATAAGGGGCTCTGTAGATATTAGCCGAGCCCTGTGCCTCATCTTTAGCTGAGCTGCAGTTACCCCTCTGAGTAAAATGAGTTCTTTTTGGAGAGCCATATCATGGAGTGAGGAGCAGGTATGTGCTGCAGCCCTCCGTGGCCATGTGGAGGCTGGGCTGGGGAGGATTTCACTTCAGCATGACTTGCAATCTGCCCTGACCCTGCCTCAGCTTAGCCTGATGGCTGCATCTAGCTGGCACTCAGTGTGCATCTTCCCTGTGCTTGCTTCTTGCTCTGGGCTGGCAGCCAGCCTGACCCACAGCTGCCCCAGTGCTGTTGTACAGCTGGAGGATAGGGAAAGCTTGATCATCCCTGAGCCTTCTACGCTGCTGCAGTGGTGTGAGGATGGGCAGATCACTGTGCTGGGAGAAGAGAGAGGGGTAAGGTGATCAGGAGGGAGAACAGTAGGAGTTAACTGTGCAGAGTGTTTACAGGTTGAGTTGGTGCTCCAGCTGCAGATAGGAAGATGAGGCGTAGTGGTTGGGATCTTTTAGTGGTAGAGCTGGGACCTGCTGGGGCAGGAAGAGACCCTGCAGCTCAGCTCAGGGCCTGCTTGCTTCTGTTCTGGCACTGAGCAGGGAGGGGGTGAGTGAAGTGGTTGATTTGGAATGTGAGTAGATTCCCACCCAGCCTATGTGTGATCCCACACTTTGCATCTCCCCTCTGGCTGCCGGGCTGCTCCTGCCATGCAGCCCCCTGTGCCAGCTACAAAACCAGTGCCCTCTGGGTGTACCTGGCACTGTGGGGCTTTCCCAGCCATCTGGAGGTGGGCTGAGTCCCCCCTGCTTCCACTCCACCTGCAGCACTGTGTCCACGTGAGCTGGGGATGGTGTGGGTAAGCACTGATCCTGCCTTGGAGCAGGGGTTGGACAGGAGTCCCTCTAAGCCCTGCTGCTTATACCAGTCCAGGGTGATCCTGGAGCTGTCGCATCAGCAGGATTTGCCTTCCTAACACACTGGTTTTCCACAGGACTGCCTGGGCTAGCTTTGGCCCTGCTGCCCTAGAGAGCTGCACCCCTGCTTCCAGAGGGGCTGCTGCCACTGCAGTCAGTCTGGTGTGCTCGTAGGGGGCTGGAGCTGCACAGTGCTGGTGATGGCAACCCCGGGGGGACTGAGTGTGCAGCAATCTTCCAGGAAGAGCTGTGGCCTCACATGGTCTTCCCATGCCAGCTCCACTTCACGTGGCTGCCGGGTGAGTCATGCAGCCCAGCCAGGCTCTGTGCCGCCAGCCCAGAGACAGGAGGGTTGGGGACTGCAGTGGGGCTCAGCACCACTCCTGCTGCCCTCATCTGTGCCCCACGTCCCCACACCTGCTCCTTGCACAGCCCCAGGGCTGAGGGATGTCAAGCACTGAGGGATCTCTGGAAAAATAAATGAACAGAGGGGGATTGGTCTGTGGGAGCGCTAGGACCAAGCATCCCTGGGGGCTCCCTAAACCCAAGTGAGTTGCAGAACTGCATCCTCTCCAGGGAGCTGGGATAACGTCTTTTCCCATGCTCCCACCTCATCATCCTTCCCCCCAGCACCACTCTACCCCACACAAGAGCCAGCTGAGGCATGCTGCGGCAGCAGTAACCAGACCCATTTAATGCACAGCACACCCAACACCACCACGGGTGAGGCTCAGCCCTTCCCTCACAGACGCTCCTGGCTGCGCTGGCGCAGAAGCCGGCTTGGGCTGCAACTCCATCGACCGTGCCCCCAGCTTTGGTGGCATCCCCACGGCTCGGTGAGGCTGTCGGGCTGGTTCCAGCAGGGTACAGCTTATAGGCAGCAGAGCGGGTAAACGCAGAGCCCGCAGCCAAGGAGCGAGCCCTAAGGCACATAGAGCAGGTACGGAGAGCCCCGGACCCCAGCGCGCGTGCGGCTCACTCAGTCAATGAGGAACTTCTCACCATCCACATCTCTCCCAGCGGATCCCTTACGCAGGGAGGGGAAGAAATCAGAGCGCAGGAGGCGGGAGAAATACATGAGGATCATGGCGTCGAGCAGCAGGAGGTTGGCCATCAGGAAGGCGCCCTGGCCCTGCACCTCCACGTAGCGCACGAAGTACCAGGTGAGGTAGGCCTGGGGCGCCAGGCGGAAGGCGAAGTACATCACCAAGTTGACGTACTTGTTGGCCTCGTAGAGCGCCGGGGAAGGCACGTTGCTCATCTTCAGCAGCATGCGGATGGTGAGAAAGATGTTGCTCACCTCCACCAGCAGCAGAAGCATCGCCGCCACCAGGAAGCGGCCCGTGATGATGAGTGAGACGAAGGCAGAGATGGCCTGCAGAGGGGGGCACAGCGAGGTCAGCACCCTACGCCCTGCACGCCTCCCTGTGAGATCCTACAACCCTTACAGCATCCAAGCCAGTCCCAGGAGCTGCTTCCCCCAGGACCGACGGTGCTGGGAAGCTCTGCCCTCCCAGCCTGGCTGTCTCCAGGCGCTGGCAGCCGTTCTGCCTGCTGCCTGCACAACCCACCTGGCAGGCAGGGTGAGGCATGGGCAGAGCTCCCGGCTGGCTGAGCCCTGGGGTGGCATGTCACCTCCCCACAGGGCAGCATCACCTTCCCTACAGCCACACTCACCATGGCATGGTGCACCAGGTACTCCCAGGACGAGCGGGACTGCTGGTTGAAGATGATGTCGAGGCTGTCGTGGATGAAGTAGCCTGCAAGGTAAGAGAAGAGCGGGAGTGAGAAGAGGGAGAAGAAGGGACTCGGGGTGCCTGCAGGGAGAGCTATACCCAGGGGGGTCCCTCCTGCTGGTGGAGGCGTAGAGGCCCCGGACCAAGTGAGCGCTCACCTGAGGAGAAGCAGACCAGCAGGTGCCCTGAGACGCTGTATCCGTCCTGGATGTCGGAGAGCAGCTCCGGGGACTGCCAAAGGCTGCGGGGAGGGAAACGGGGTGAGGCCGAGCGCTGCTGTGGGGGTTCGGCCCTAAGACCCCAGTCCTGCCACGGGGCACAGGGAGGAAGCAGGCGATGTTTCGCACTCCCGGGCTGTGGGAGAGCTGTGCGCGGGCTGCCCACGGCATCACCCCCCGAGCTCCCATCCACCCCCGATACCTGAGTAGGGCCCACAGCCCGGCGAGCACGGAATGTGCGAAGGAAACGAGGAGGTTCCTCCAACGCCAAACGCGCCCGGGTCGGCTCCTCACGGCTGCGGGTCGGGGCAGGGCCAGAGCCGCCCGCCTCAGCGCCCCGAACAAAGCCACGCTGCCGCCCACTAGGGCGGCCGACGGCGCCCGCCAGCCCGGGCCCATCGCGCCCAGCTCCGGGGCACGGCGCGGGGCGCGCGGCGGCGCGGGCTGCCGGGCGCGGGGCGGGGCTGCCAAGGGGCGGGGCCACGAGAAAGAGAGGCGGGGCTTCGCCTGCGGACACGCCCATCGGCAGCTCTGCGCATGTGCGTGGGGATTGCGCGCAATCTGGGCGAGTGGGTGCAGCACACGCGTGTGCAAGGCAGGGGTGGCACGCGGGGTGTTGAAGCGTTAGGTGTGCATGCTGAAACTGATTGCGGCGTCTGTGTGGGCATTGCACGAGTGTGTGTGCAAACCGGGCATTGCACGTGGGGTTTTAAAGCGTGCGTGCATGCTGGATGTTGCTCGTGGACGTATGGAGCGCTATTGCGTGGTTTGTGGTGGGCGTTACACACCTGTGTGTATGCGCTGGGCGTTGCACGTCCACGCTGAGCGTTGCACACACCCACACCACGTGTCAGACTGGGATGCTGACTGCAGGCGTGCGAAGTGCAGCTGGCGTGGGCCCTGCTCGTGTCCCGGGCGCGGTGTGCATGCCCTGGGTGCCCCCCACGAGCAGAGCTCGATGTCGCTAGGTGGCAGCATGGCCCCGTGGCACGGCCCGGGGGTGGCAGTGCTGTCCCTATCCCCCGCCCTGGAGCAGCCGCCCCCCATGCGGCTGCCCCATTCTCGGGGCTGCCCGGCCGTGCTTCGCTGCGGGTACAGAGCTGAGGGCGCTGCGCCCACCCCCTCCCGTTCGTGGCTGACCCCGCGCGGGGTCTCGGCCTCGGGGAGGCCCCCCAGGGCAGCGCCCGCCTCCCATTGTCCCCAGTCATCCCAGGAATGTGGGGAGAAGCTGGGAACGGAGCCAGGGCTTGGGCCTCGCTCCTGCTCACAGCCAAAGCGCTGAACCGAGAGCCCCGGTGTGAGCCCCCCCTGCTGTCCGCACACAGCCGTGGTATCCCGCTCCTAGCTCCGGCCGTGGCCCCCGCAGCTCGCTCGCTGCGTTCATCGCAGGGCTGCGGGTTACAGATTAACTCCCCTCGCCTTTAAGGTGGGGCTGAAGAGGGGCCGCGGCTCCCGCAGACCTGCAAAACACTGGGGGAAGGAGGCGGACGCGCAATGAGTGTTTTGTCCTCTCGCGGCCACCTTAGCGGAACCCGGAAGCGTCTCCATGGAGACGGGAGGAGCCTGGGCCTAGAAGGGGGAGCGATGGAGAAATACGAGCGGATCCGGGTGGTGGGGAGAGGGGCCTTCGGGTGAGGGCAGCCCCAGAGAGCACCGGGCCTGGCGGATGGGGGGGCCTTGCTACTATGGGGGGGGGGAGCAGCGCCGGGCCTGTGGCACCCCCCAAGTGAGAGGCGCAGGCCCTGTTACCATGGCGACGGGGGTGCCTCGGCCTTGTTGCCGTGGCAACGCGAGGGTCAGCCGCTGTGTGGCACCCTGGGGTGGAGGCCTGGCCTTGGCTGTTGCCGTGGTGACGGGGGGGTTGGGGGGTGTATCATACCCTACTCTGGGATGGTAACAGGCCCTGTTACCGTAGTGACATGGAGAGACGGGGGCTATGCGTCACCCAGGGCTGGTGGCCAGGCCCCGTCCCTCCCCACTGAGGCCCTGTCCCTGCAGCATCGTGCACCTGTGTCTGCGCAAGGCCGACCAGAAGCTGGTCATCCTGAAGCAGATCCCCGTGGAGCAGATGAGCAAGGATGAGCGGCTGGCGGCGCAGAACGAGTGCCAGGTCCTCAAGCTGCTCAGCCACCCCAACGTCATCGAGTACTATGAGAACTTCCTGGAGGACAAGGCTCTCATGATTGCTATGGAGTATGCTCCAGGTGGGCCCCATGCACCCTCACGCCTGGCAGTGGCTCCTCAGCAGGTCCAGGGGATGCTGGGCATTCATCTCCTCATGGATCAGGCTGCTTTGGCTCCATGTTGCGCTCTGGGTCCTCAAAGATTCAAAATAAGGCTTTCTTGAGCAGATGTGGCCATTATATTTTTTTTGCAGAAAAGCTTCCGTGGGTCCTGCTGGGCACCAAGTTGGCCATGAACCAAGTGGCTGAGCATTGGCGCAGGTAAACCAGAGATGTGATGGAGTCTCTTTCCCTGGAGATACTCAAAGATGTCTGGACAGTTGTTTCTAGGTGGCCCTGCTTGAGCAGCAGGATGGACTTGATGATCTCCAGAGGGCCCCACCAATCTCAGCCATTCTGTGGTTTTATGTCTTGTGCCTACTCCTAACAGCAATGAAAAGGTTTCTGACACACCTGCTACCATCCACCCTTGGTTTAGGTTTCACTTGTTTGTCAGCTCTTGGCCACGCTGTCAGTCCCACAGCTCTGCGTGGGAAGGTGCAATTTCTGATGAGATTTGCTATGGAGTTTAAGATTGAGATTTGCATGAGGGCTTGTTAAAAGTTTCACAGGAGACCTGCATTTAGACCTACCCTTCTTGACAGGGGCCTCTCAGTGCCACGTGGCCTCTCGGACTGCAAGAATTCTCTTCTGCAGAACAGGCTTATCTTGTTCTGCCATCAAGGTTTGTGTCCTGACAGGGCTCCAGGACCTGTAATTTTAGCGTTCCTTTTTCCTGCTGCCTTTGACAATATGTCAACAGCAACTTCTTTCTCCCTGTGCCTTCGTCCCACCAACTGTGCTGCCATTGTTCTCTGCATAGTCTCAGGAGCACTGGAGGATGTGCTTTGTGTCCCACCATGACATGCTCTTTCCCATGCACTTGTCTTGTTAAGATGCTGCAGCTAAATCCCTTTATTTTGAGGCTGAGATCGTGCTGCCCTGTGCAGCCACCCTTGCTGATATCCCTTTGTTGTTCTTTGCAGGAGGCACGCTGGCAGAGTTTATTCATAAACGCTGTAACTCCTTGTTGGATGAGGACACCATCCTACACTTCTTCGTGCAGATCCTCCTGGCTCTTCACCACGTGCACACCAAGCAGATCCTGCACCGTGACCTGAAGACTCAGAACATCCTCTTGGACAAGCATCGCATGATTGTCAAGATTGGAGACTTTGGCATTTCCAAAATCTTGAGCAGCAAGAGTAAAGCCTACACGGTGGGTGGCCCAGCTTTGCAGGGCAGCTATTTACCACCATGGCAGCAGGCTGGAAACACTGGTCTTGGCTCCATGAAAGTCTCTGGAAAGCAGCTGTGGGCAGCAAGGTTGGAAGTGGCCTACTCTCAGTGGGCTACATCTGTATGACACGGTGCTGCTTTGTTACTGAGGCCTCCAGAAAGGCAAATCATCGTGGTTTTTACTGAGACTGTCAGCCACACAAACACACAGCTCCCCTAAGCTTTGGTTGGTTGTGCTCCGGGCTGTAAACTGAGCCTTCCTCCTTCCTCCTTCTTACCTTTCATGGCTTCATGGTAGATTTATCTGTCTCATCTAGGTTGTGGGAACTCCATGCTACATCTCCCCAGAGCTCTGTGAAGGGAAGCCTTACAACCAGAAGAGTGATATCTGGGCTTTGGGCTGTGTGCTCTATGAACTTACCAGCCTCAAGAGGGCTTTTGAAGCTGCGGTAAGACAAGACAGAGTTTACATGTAGTGCAGAGAACTGTGGTCTCTTTCAGAGGCAAAAATACGTGCTTGGATCACTCTTCTCTCTGAGCCTGAAGGTGTGAAGGCAGAGGGCAGCACTGAAGACATCTTGCCCCTTGGTCTTGTTTCTGATTTCCCAGCCATTGTATCTCTCTCTTTTGTTTTCTGTTCAGAATCTTCCTGCCTTAGTATTGAAGATCATGAGCGGGACGTTTGCCCCAATATCGGATAGATACAGCCCTGACCTGCGCCAGCTCATCCTTAGTATGCTCAACCTGGATCCTTCCAAGCGGCCTCAGCTGAATGAGATTATGGCCCAGTCCATCTGCATTCGCCCCCTTCTGAACCTCTACACCGATGTAGGAAGCGTTAAAATGAGAAGGCAAGTGATACTGCCACACTTGTCTCCCTTGGGAGGGACTGCCACGGCTCACAACACGTCAGACCAGCTCACTGTCTATGCTGTAAACTCCAAATAGAGTGCTGACCCTATGCTGGGTTACCAAATGTGCAGCTGCTGCAAGCCGAGCCTGGCTCTGTGGCTTGTGGCTGCAGCAGGTGTGGGCAGCAGTAAACTGCAAATGGAGAGTTGTGAGCTCAGGGGGAAGAAAATTGACACCAACTTCCCTTTCTCAGGTGGTTTAAAACACCTGCCAAAGGCAGTTCTGTGAGTTGGTCAGCTGTGGCTTTGCTGTAGCTCTGCCTGGTTCTGCGATACAGGGCTCTGCAGGACCTCTGGGCTGAGCTGACAGTAAGGACTGGATTTTGGTTTGGCAGGCCTGAAAAGCCCTTGGCTCCAGTGCAAACAGTGACACACAGCCGGACGGGGGGACGAGTGAGCAGTGCCAGGCCCAGGGGTGAGTGCTGGCACAGGGCCTTCAACACAACTCCCATTTGGAAGGACCCTCTCCATTGGATGACAGGGAGTTGGAGAGGTGTTTGGAGAGAAGAAGTTGAGAAATATTGCCTTCCATGAGCACTGGAGGAGCCCCCAGGGACCTCAGATCTGGGGACCAAACAGCAGTCTTTCTCCAGCTGCTTCTTTAAGGTTTTGACCCTTTGAATCAAGTTTCTGCAGTTTCTACTGTAAAGGCTGGGAACGAGCTGAGGAGGGTGCCAAGGGAGAACCTCTCTGAGCAGGGCAGTGCAGCTGGCATCGGTTAACAATTAGCTAGAGTTGTTGTAATGCTGCTCCCCTCAGCTCTGGGATAAAACACAAGGGGCTGTTCCCTCAGCCCTGGCACTGAGCTCCCCAGCAGTCCCGTGCCAGCCTTGGACCGGTGCTCTGAGCTGGCCTGGCCCTGCTGGCAGCCCAGCAGCTGCGCTGGCACCCAGCAGGATGGTGGCTTTATCTTTCTGTGGGAGGACAGTTAACAATCTGCTCTGATTCCTGTTTGACCCACAGGTGTTCGAGGTGGCTCAGCCAGGACAGGCATCCCTCCTCCCCTGTCGTCCATCTACACGTGGGGCAGTGGGATCACCACCCCGCTCCGTCTGCCCATGCTGAACACCGAAGTGGTGCAGGTGTCTGCTGGCAGGACACAGAAGGCTGGGGTCACCAAATCGGGGAGGCTTATCATGTGGGAGGTGAGTAATGGGGGACGTGGGACAGGCAGCTGTGGGAAGGTGTTTATCTTAGTTCTCACACGCAGCCCTTGCTGCACCGAGGCACAGGAGCTGGTCGGTTTCTCTCCTCCAGGCTCCCCCGATGGGTGCTGCAGGAGGCCCTTCTCTGCCAGGAGCCACTGAGCAGCTGCAGCCTCAGTTTGTATCCCGCTTTCTGGAGGGCCAGTCTGGTGTGACCATCAAACACGTGTCCTGCGGGGATCTCTTCACTGCCTGCCTCACAGGTGAGCTGCTGCCTTGGGAAGTTGTGGAAGTGTCCCAGTGTGACAGCCTGGGATACCTGTTCAGAGAGGAACCCGAGAGATGCACTGGGCTGAGATGAAGTGAAGACCTCTGTGGCTTGCAGGCATGATGCCATGCTGCTCAGCTGGGTCACAAAGGTCAGTCTGGTATGGGCAAGGCACAGACAGACACCTTCTGTTCCTTGTCCTGCTAGCAGTGGTGTCTCTTGAAGCCAGAACTGGCTTGCACAGTGGGGCCTGCAGTGCAAGGAACGTTTGGGAGACTCAGCCTTTCTCTGTCACATACTCTGTGAGTGTGACACGAGCAGTGATTAATGGTGACTGGCACTGCAGCAAGAAGGCAGCATGAATGGGTGCCTATGAGCTCCTGCAGCCTCTGCTGCAGGAAGGCAGGGTCTGAAGCCCTTGAAGAGTCGGCCAGAAGCTGGCTGGGAGCAGAGTATGTACACAAGCCCAAGGCTGTGCTTGGGGAGCAAAGCCCTCCCAGGGGTCCTTTGGGAGCCCTGTTTGCCCTTCTGCTGGAGGTCGGGGCAGTAAATGACAGATATGCAGATGGCAGACTTCATAGGTGTCTGTTTGTCCTTCCTCTGCATGGCATTTCCTGCTGCTGCTCTGCTGGACGGCTGCTTGCTGAGCACCCTATGTATTGAGCACCTTGACAGACTGTGGAGTTTGCAGCTCCTGAGTACACAGCTGCCATAATGTTATCACAGGGCTTTCCTGTTATCAACTGATGTTTGTTTGGTGAGGCGTTGTGGTGCATCGAGGCTGCTGCTCTCTGGAAGTTTGTTGAAGGCCTTGGGGGGCCCCCCAGCAAGTTATGAGTCACAGTGGGTCCAGGCAGAGCCTGTCCTGGGATCCATGGCCAGCCCTGTGGGCTGTGTGTGTGCCTTATGGGGCGTCACGTGTGCCAGTAACACGGCTTCTTTCTGCCTTTCCAGACAGGGGGATCATCATGACTTTTGGCAGTGGCAGTAATGGCTGTTTAGGGCACGGAAACTTCACGGATGTCAGCCAGGTTTGTTGTGAGGGTGCTGGGCGTGCTGCTCCCCCAGAGTCAGAGGATGGATTGTGCTTTAACCGCCACGTGAGGCAGCTCGTCCCAGCTCCAGGGTGTGCATCCCAGGCGTGCTCTGGCATCCGACCCCCCTCCCCCTTCTCTCCCTATCACTGCGGGTTTTAAAAGGCCCAACCGGCCTCCCCCTTTCTCTGTGGGGGCGCCCCCCCCCCCCCCTACACAATGATCCCTTTGAGTGTGGGGGAAGTCAAGAGCTGCCTTGTGGTTGCTGTTGGCAGGCTCCCAGCTTGGAGCCTGCCTCCAATCACACACCTGCCTGCTTCACTCTTGGCCTGCAGCTGCCGGGGTTCACTGAGAAAAGTTATTTTTCAAAAGAGCCAGTATTTAAAGAAGAGCTGTGTGCTTCCGATTGGCTTGGAGCAGTGGGGCTGAGAGCCCGTTGCTCCTTTCCAGCTTCTTCCTCTCCTGCCCTCGGATGTGACAGCAGCCGATGGCTGCCAGCTGAAGCCTAGGGACTGGTGCCATTTGTTTCTGTGGTCAGCTGGCTCATTTGTGCCTGCTCTGTCCAGAGCAGCTCAGTGTTTAATGCTGGGGGACACCAACTGGGAGTTGCAGCCAAGTCCCAGCAAACGGCGCTTTTCACTTGAAGAACATAATGAGATTGAGGCTCGATGTGGCGAGGTGTCAGATTTAACAGCAGGTCACAGCAGGGGCTGGGCACAGCGTGGAGATCCTGGTCTCTCCACACCCTAATGAATGTGTAGCTGGTGGCTCACAGCTCCTCTGCGTGAGAGGAGCCAAATGCATCCTGCACCAAGCCCCTGCCTGCTCAGAGCGTGCGTTAACCGCCCCTGGCACTCCCCCAATGGGCAGGGGGGCAAATCCCAACCCTTCAGCTCTCCAAACCATGGTGCTGGCTGCTTTCTTCCGCCCTAGAGATGTTTGCATTATCTTTTGTGCTGCGTGCACGTCGACTCTTTAAAAAAAAAACACACACACACAAAAAAAACCCCAACCCTTTGAAGACTGTTCAGAACAAAAAATTCTCTGGTGTTTGTGTTGGATGAAAACTGGGATGCTGCCAGTGCTGTGCTGTGCTGGGGGGGCAGGGTGGGAGGGATGGGAGCAGGCAGGCGGGCTGGGAGGTCTCGGCTAACGGCTGCTGCTCTTCCCCTGCCAGCCCAAGATTGTGGAGGCCCTGCTGGGCTACGAGATGGTGCAGGTGGCCTGTGGTGCATCTCACGTCCTGGCAGTTTCCAATGAACGGGAGGTGTTTGCCTGGGGCAGAGGGGATAATGGTAAGAGATGTCTGCTTAGCAGAACAGGGCTAATGCTTTCCATCACGTTTCCATGCTTCTTGCTGGCCCTACTTGCCTGTGATTCTCTCCAGATGTGCCAGGCTCGGTGGGTCCCTGCCACTTCAGTGCAGATCAGGTCCCTGCACTTTGGGTTTTGCTGCCTTTCATGGTGGCAGGTCCCAGAATGAGTTCTTGGAGACAGCTTTGTGTTTTTCCTGCCAGGTCGGCTTGGGCTGGGCACCCTGGAGTGCCATAACTCCCCCCAGCAGGTAGCAGTCCCAGCAGAGCATGAGGCACAGAGGGTGATCTGCGGCATCGACTCCTCCATGGTCCTCACAGTGAAGAACCAGATTCTTGCTTGTGGGAGCAACAGGTAGGGGAAATGAGGATCTGTGAGAGCTCAGAGCCTGCCTGCAGCTTCCCCAGACCCCTCCTGTGTCTGTCACTGAAGCAGGAGCAAGAGTCTCTAGAAGGCATTTCTGTGAGATCCTGCTCATTGCTGGGGCTGTAGTTATGCTAAAGCAGGATTTGATGTTGGATTCAGCCAGTTCTGAGCCATGCTTTTTTCTTTGCAGGTGTAACAAGCTGGGCCTAGATCGGATCAGCTCAGCAGAGGAACCTTCCCCAGAGGAGCAGGTAGAGGAGGCCACCGTGTTCATGTGTGCCCAGTCAGCCCCCTTGAACCAAGAGCCAATTGTGTGTGCTGATATCGGTACAGCACACTCAGCTGCAGTCACAGGTGTGTGCCCAGATCCCTGAGAAGGGACTGCATTTTCTCCCTCCTCCTCCTGCTTCCCTTTGCTGTAGGTAAAGAGCTGAGAGAGGCTCAGTACACCCTGCTCCCAGTTTTGGAGCACTGTGGAGCAGGATGCTCAGCATGATAGAGAGAAAAGGGGTTTCTGTGCATCCTTGGGTGACATACGGTTGTTTCTCTCATCTCTCATCAGCTTCTGGCCACTGTTACACCTTTGGGAGCAACCAACACGGGCAGCTGGGCACCAACTCCTGCCGCAACAGTCGTGTGCCCCACCTGGTTGTGGGGCTCCAGGCCATGAAGGTTGCTGTGGTAGCTTGTGGGGATGCCTTCACTGTGGCTATTGGAGCAGGTGAGGCTGAAGCTCCCGTGTCCTGGTGAGGGCTGCAGGAGCTGTGTGTGCAGCAAGCTGTGTCCCTCTGCAGATGGTGAGGTGTGCACCTGGGGGAAAGGAGCCAGGGGACGCTTGGGCAGGAAGGATGAGGAGACAGGAACGCCACGGCCTGTGCAGCTGGAGGAGACACATCCATACGTGGTGACCTCTGTAGCCTGCTGCCATGGGAACACGCTGCTGGCTGTAAAGCGTGAGTAGGGGGCTCTGCTACTGAGATTCCTGCTGTGAGGTCCCAGCCAGAGATGATGCTGTACCGAGTAACCCTGGCACACAAGCTATGTGTTATTCTAGTCCATCTAGAGCTGTAGATGAGCAGAAATAACTTGAAGCACATCAACATTCCCCTTCTGCTATACAGGGCTGTGACACTGCCTCTTCCACTGCCCTGGGGGAGCAGAGAGGCAGGCTCACACGCTACCAGACGATGGGGGGTGGCCAGACTGCAGCTGGTGGGGAGCTGAGATGCTGACTGTCCAGCGAGTAGCCAAAAAGAGCAGCTCTCTAATTGCTGCTGCTGAAATAGAAGCTGAGATTTGAGGCGTCATTTTGGCTGCTGGCTCTCCGTTGTGGTTTGGAAAAGATAGCCATGGTTTTGTGGTTCCTCTCTGCTCGGGCCAAAAGTAGCATCCTTGCGTGGTTAAAACGTGCCCATGGCATGACCTGCCCTTCCGTTGCCTGGGTGTGAGATGGGAGCCTGGCCCAGACTGCTGGAGGGGGGCCTTTCTTCCTCCTCTGTTGGTCTGATTATGGCCTCTGCACTGGGCTGTGGGATTCCAGTCCCAGCCCACTTCAAGGAGGTTAATTACGCCCTGCAGGGGAGGAGGCCCGGCTGACTGCCCCAGCACAGTGAAATCGGCCCTGCTGAGCCCTCACGTGATGTGTGCTGCCACGGAGGGGACAGGGAAAGGCAGAGTCTTGGGGCAGGGTGTTTGTTGTGGGAATAAAAGTGTTTTGTTCTTGCAGGAAGGCTGCGAGCTGCAGTCCCCTTCTGCTGCTGGAGTGGCTCTGCAGCTGGGCTGTGAGCTCCCACCTGCAGCCCTGCAGAAGCAGGGCTCCAAGTTCTCATATTGGGCTTCCACGCAGCTCGGTCTGCCTGGAAACCTCTCCAGAGTGAGCAGAGTGGCACGTTTGGTCTTACTGCCACTTTGAGCACCGACCAGGAGCTGGCAGGGAGTGCTGGCACTGGGAGCTGAGCTCCACCTTTGGGGCTGCACAGCGCTTTCCTCCCGTGCAGCCAAGCACTGTTTGTGAGTGGCTTGGACTGGTGCCCTCTTTATCGTGGGGCCACTGCTGCACCTTTTTCTCAACCCCACTGCAAACACAGGCCTGGAATAGCTGGGAGAAGCTGGAGAGGAGGAGGATGGTGCAAACCCCAAGATATTTTAATCCCTCCTGCTTGTGCTCTGTGGTGTTGTTTGGTTTGTTTTTTAATGCTACCACAGGGGCAACAGGACAGAGATTGCATTGCTCATCTGTTCCTGCCTTTTGTGTTTCAGCTGCCGTGGAAGAGTCACCACCTCAGTGAGAGGGATGGCATCCAGCCTTGCCATACAGCTGCAGGCTCCTGTTGCTGCACCTACTCCCCAGATTCTGCTGCACAACTGGGAGCTCTCAGCTCTCGTGGGTCAGTGAGGTTTGCTGTGGCCCTGAAGTGCCTGTGTTCGGTGGGTCTCTGGGCTGTTGGAAGGTGCAGAAGGGCTCTCCTCTGCCGCTGGTGATGAGCACAGAGGTTGTTTTTCCCCGTGGAAACTCTCTGGTTACAAAGCCCAGGCTGACAGCTCGCTGTCTGAGAGAGCTGTCAGCCTTTGCAGCAGTGTCTGGAGTTACAGCCCCAGGCGCTGTGCTGGGTGACTAAGAGCAAACCTCTTTTCTAATTAGACAAACCAGTCCTTTCCCATCCCCCTTGCAAGCATTTTGCCCATTTGTTGAGCTGTTCATCACTCTTCCAAGGGTCCTGCCCTGCACGGCTGGCCTAACACCAGGCGAGCAGCCTCTCCTTGTGCAGCACGGCTGCTCCCCCAGTGCTGCCTGAGGCTCTCCAATTACAGCCTCCTGCAGCCCCAGGAGCCCAGCTGAGCATCCTCCAGCTGATGTTTGTCCTCAGGCCCCTTAAATCCTGCTGCTGCCTGGCTCCAGGCCCAGCGAGTTCGAGGCAGCAAAACGCAGCGAGCGCTTGTCTCTAATTGAAGTTTTTGAACCCAGATCTCAACAGGGAGATGATGAGTTTCCACCAGGGATCCTCTCTGCAGGCAGGAGGGGGCATATCACTGTACCACAGCCAGGAGTTACCTTTTTTTAATCACCAGAAGGGTCGTTTCCTTTCTTGCTTTTATTCCCCCCCCTTTACTGTGTATATATTTTTTAACATCTGCCCCGGGCCATTTTCTGATGAGTTTCTGTCTCTGATCTGACATTGCCTTTCACATCCATCTTTGTGCCGCTGCCAATCCGTTGTGTATAAAGTCAGTGCTTTCATAAGCTGGCTGAGATGGAATCTCTCTAATTATTTTTGTGATCCTTTCCTGTCTTCAATGAGGGAAACCTTGTCAAGCTCTGGTAGGTGCCGACCGATCCCTCTGTCATGTGGAAGGTAATGAATTTCTGCAGCTCTCCTGCTCTCTCTGCCTCCCAGGCTCTGGCTGGGAAGAAAGCAGGTCCTGTCCGGCCAGGAAAGGCGTGTGCAGCCCTGGCTGCAGACACGGCCTCCCTCTTTGGCTCCTGGCTGGGTGGGTGAATGGGTTTTTCCCTGCCTCTTTGTTTCTGGTGGAGCTGCCTTTTCAGGTGGTTACACCCTGCTATCCCAGAAAGCTGACGTGTGTTCAAAGGCTCTGCCGGTCCCTTGGCACTTGCCTTGTGCTCCGGCTTACAGGGGAAGGTGTTCAGGCTTCCAGACCGACCTGGGGACCAGGACAACTGCAGGGCCGGGTGAAATTCCCTCTGAACTCTCGTCTTTTCTCCCCGTGCTGAGCTGTGAGCACCACCAACTCCTGCAGAAACAGAGCCCTCTTGGCTGTGCTGCGTTCAGCCTCTCCTGGGGCTCCCCTGCATGCAAATACAGCACAAGACCAGCAGGCTCCTGCTCCAGCCTCCCCGGGGCCGGTAGGTGGCTGGGACACAAATCCCTGCCCCCTTTTGCCCCGTCAGTGGGGTGGCATCAACGTGCCGTCGCCCCAAGGCTGCTAAAGCAGGGCTGAGCCCCCCGTCTCCACTGCCGCGCTGACAGCAAAGGCTTGTTTTACGGCTTCACACCGCGCTGCTGGGGCTGGAGGTGGCACCGGCTCAGCTATTGGGACCTTTCACCTCGGGGAAAGGGGAGAAGCAGCCAGCTTTGTGCCGGGCCGGGGCTTTGCCAGGAGGGCTGCAGCCCTGGGGATTTCGCTTCGGCTGCGGAGCCCGGCGAAATGATTTGAATAATTTAATAGCGGGCTGCGACCGAGCCTGGCGAAAAGGGTAAAAGGAAACAAAGAGGCCCCCGGCCCCGAGCAACAATAGCTCTCGAAACGACAAGCAGAGGCACGTCCGTGTGCCGCAGGCAGCAGCAGCCCCAGCGAATGGGCCGGTTGCATTCCTCACGTCGGCTGCTTTGTTTCCCTGCAGCAGCTCCTGGTAAAACTCGGAATCGGGGCTTCTCCCTTCTGAGCCTCTTTTTGTCGCAGGAAACGACGCGCAGAGCTCGGATCTTCGTGCTGACGGAGCAGCGATGCGCCGGGCTGAGAATCCCTGCTCCGTGCAGCCCCAGCAGCGAGAGGTCTGCTGGTTTTCCTGCGGGAAAAGGCTGAGGGCAGCATGCAGGCAGGATCCACGGGCTGCTCGTTCCCGTGCCTGATAAGATTACACGTCCCGCTGACCTCGGGCCGTTGGTGTCAGCAGGAAACAGCCCAAACCTCCTGCTGATCCCTCAGCTGATTTCATTCGGTTGTGGCACTCCTCTGTTGCTCCCGGCCCCGTTCCCACGAGGCTTTGCAGAAGGGCAGCTTCTGTCCATCCAGCCTCTCCCCCAATGCTCTTCTGCAGGAAAACGTCCCCCAAAAATAGGGAGTGAGCTTTCCCAGCACTCCTTTCCACCTCAGCTTTAGAAGCGTTGCTTTTCCATCCCCTGATTTATGCAAACCCGGGCACAGGGATGCTGCTGCAGGAAGCCCAGATGGGTTTGGGGACGGACCTGTCACCGGGGATGGGCGACAAATTGCTTCTACAAAGCTGAGCGCCCTGCCCGGAGGTGGAGTGGCAGCAGAGTGCGAGCCAAACGCCCGGCTGTCACGGTGAGCGAGGGCAGAGGGGGAAATGAGGGGATCTTTGTTTGCAGGGTCTGACACCTCGGTGCCGTCCTGCTGGCACCCGCAGCGCCTTCGGATGGCTTTGTCAGCTCCGGGCTAATTAGGCTGAGGTGCTCTTGAAGCGAGGTTAGAAAAGGAAAAACTTCAAAGAGACGGAGCTCATAAAGGCTGGCGGGGGGAGCAGAGCCCCACGGCCCCGTATGGAGCGTGGTTCTGAGTCCTGCCTCGGGCTCTGGGCAAACCCAGCTGGGACAAAGGCCGTCCTGCGCTGCCAGTGGGGGTTTTACTGTCTGCTGGGTGAGCGACAAGAGGGAGAGGCTGAGCTCTTCCTCCTCCTCCTCCTCCACGTGTGAATGGAAATCTGCCAGCACGTGTGGCCGTGCTGCTGCCCGTGCGGGGGCTGGGAGGGATGAACGCATGCTGGCAGCCCGTCAGCTGGTGCTGCTCATCTCTGGGGAAAAGGGGCGAACGTTCCCATATGCTGCTCAGCTCCGAGAGGGCGAGGAGGGGGCTGGGACAGATCTCCCTTTATTCTGCATCCCACCCCGCCTCACCCCATTCTGTCTCTCCCTAGCCGCTCTCTTATCTCCTCCTATCCCACTGCATCCTATACGACCCCATCTCATCTCCCCCCACACCACCCCCCTCTATTCTATCCCACTCCGTCCCATTCCATTTCACCCCATCCCACACATCCATACAACCTTCCCAGGTCATCCCATCCAACCCCATCTCCTCTTGCCCCATCCTATCCCACTCTATCCTATACAATCCCATCTCACTCCTCCCCATTCACCCCCATCCCGCTCCACTCACCTCCATCCCGTTTCCCCCATCCCATCCAACCTCTCCTATCCCCCATCAGGGCAGCCCCGGCCGCAGCCCCACGCGGTGCCCCTGACCCCCGTTCTCTCCCCGCCCGTCGTGCGGGATTCGGGGCGGTTTCGCTGCGGTTGTCGCCGCCCCGGGGCGGAGTCGGCTCCGAGCAGCGGAGCGGTGCGCGTCGCGGGGCCGGGAGCGGTGCGCGATGCCGGGCTACGACTACAAACTGCTGGAGCGACCGCGGCGGAGAGTGCTGTGCCCGCTGTGCGGGAAGCCCATGCGGGAACCCGTGCGGGTCTCCACCTGCGGACACCGCTTCTGTGACACCTGCCTGCAGGAGTTCCTCAGGTGAGCCCCTTTACCCCCCCCTCCCCCCCTCCCCCGACGCTGAAACCATCCCTCCCCGACGTCACGTAGGGAACCCTATGGGTGCTGCCGGGGTTTGCAGGGTTGGAGGGGGACGGGGGAATTCGTGAGTGCCCCCCACGCGTGACAGCCTCTTTCGGGCTCGGAGGAGGAGGAGGAGGCGGCCGAGCCCGGCGTCTTCCTGCCGGGGCCACGCAGGAAGGAAGCTGTGGGGCCCCCCCATCCCACAACCCCCGAACCTTACGGCTGTGTTTGGGGGGGGATCCGCGCGTGGAGCGGCCCTTTCCCCGCGTTCCGCCGCCTCCGGTTCAGCCTCGCCCCGCACCGACGACCTTTGCACGGGGAGGGGCGGGGGGGGGGGGACACGGTGGTTTCTGCGAAACCGGGCGTTCCCGGGGCCGATGCCAGGCTGAGCCGCGACCGTGGGGATCCGGGGACGGACGGCGGGAGACCCCCACGGTGCAGCCGGGAGAGGATTGGGTGGCTGGGGGAATGGGGGGGGGGGGAACCTTCTCGACGTGAAGGTCAGAGGGAAGGACGGTGCCCCCGGCGCTGCCTCAGCACATTCCCTGCCCGGTGGAGCGTGAGCAACGGGGCGGCCGCGTCGGGGATTGCGCCCGGACCCCCGGCCCGTTTGGAATCGTGGGCCCCCCGCCCCAACGGGGCACGTGGCAGGGCTGCGTCGGACCCCCAGCGCTCCTCGGTCCCCAGCGGTGGGGCTTGGGGGGAGGGGGGCGGAGGGGAGGGGAGGGGGGAGCAGCCATGGGGGTGTCACTGTGTGCACTGCCAATCCAGTGCTGTGTACCGGGTGGCACCGTGGTGTTGGTCACTGCTGCATCTTGGCAGCCCCATTAGTGCCAAGGGCACATGGAGGGGTCTGATATGAAGGGGAGGGGGGACTTTGTGTCCCCAGCCACCAGAACCAGGGTCCTGGCTGTGCATCCCCATGGGCAGTGCCCAAAGGTGCCACAACAGTGGCTCCCGGCCAGCTGTGCCAGGTCACCCATTCAGCTTTGTCCCCGTTCCCCACCCCATGCCATCCCTCTGTGGGTCACGGTGACGTCGGGGCGGTGTTCACCATCTGTGTCTCAGTGATGACTTTGAAATGTGGCACTCATCCCATCGGGGGGCATCGCTCTGTCCCACTGGGGTGCTCCCAGCATGCTGAGGACCCTGCTCCACGCACATTCCCCTCCACCCCACCTCCCTGGGGCCATTTCCTGGTGAGCAGCTTCCTATGGGGCCTTGCATCCGTGCTGCACATCTGGTGCCCAGCTGTTGGCCCCCACCTCATGGGGCAGCCCCACCGGCCCCATCCCAGGGCGTGTGAAGGGGCTCCAGATGGTGCCTTGCCCTCGGGGGGGGGGTGTCTGGCGGGGGCATTTCCCAGCCCCGACAGATGGAGCGGCCGCCGCCAGGATTAGGGCTCCCTGAGGGCTGGATTTGGCACACCGGGGGGCTCCATGGATGTGTCAGCCCTCATCTCCGACTCCTCTCTCTTTCTCCTGCAGTGAAGGCGTCTTTAAGTGCCCCGAGGATCAGCTGCCCCTGGACTACGCCAAGGTGAGCCCAACAGGGATGTCCCCCTGCCCCACTGTGGCTCTGGCCCGGCCCTGGTGCCTGGCACGGCGCTGCCGTGGATCAACAGCTCTTTGTGCTGCGCAATGGGAAACGGAAACCCGCTGCCGACAAAGGGTGCTTGTTGGAGTGCTGGCTGGGGGGATTCTGGCCCTGGGCATTGTGCCCACAGCTCGCTCACCCCCCCCCACCTACCTCTAGATCTACCCCGACCCTGAGCTGGAAGCCCAAGTGCTGAGCTTGGCCATCCGCTGCATCCACAGCGAGGAGGGCTGTCGCTGGAGTGGGCTGATCCGACACCTGCAGGTAGGGTAGCGGGCAGGGAGCACCCCACAGCACCCCTTACCCTGACCCCCCCACAGCACCCCTTACCCCAACCCTGACCCCCCCACAGCACCCCTGACCCTGACCCCCCCACAGCACCCCTTACCCTGACCCTGACCATCCCTGTGCACCCCCCTCCCCCAGGCCCACCTGGGCACCTGCGGCTTCAACGTCATCCCCTGCCCCAACCGCTGCAGCACCAAGCTGAGCCGCCGCGATCTGCCCCAGCACCTGCAGCACGGCTGCCCCAAACGCCGCGTCCAGTGCGAGTTCTGTGCCGGGGATTTCACCGGGGAGGCCTTCGAGGTGAGCGCCGCTAGGGGACGGTGTGACCATGGAGATGCTATGGGGGATGTGTGGGGATGTGGGCTGGATGGGGCTGCAGTGAGGGTTTAAGGTGGCTGTGGAGGATGTGGATGGGTTGTAGGGCACCGTGGGGACACAGATGGGGACATCCTGCTGCTGGGGACACGGTCCGGCTGTGGGGACAAGCTGGATAGGGGGCACCCTGCAGGGCACAGCCTGGCCGTGGGGATGGAGCTGGCTGTAATGACACTGCTTCTATCCCCAGGGCCACCAGGGGACATGTCCCCAGGAAAGCGTGTACTGTGAGAACAAGTGTGGGGCACGCATGATGCGGCGCCTGCTGTCCCAGCACACCTTGTCCGAGTGCCCCAAGCGCACCCAGCCCTGCACCTACTGTGCCAAGGAGTTTGTCTTCGACACCATCCAGGTGAGACGGAGCCGTGGGGATGGGGGCACCCCGCCGTCTCTCAGCCCCAGTAACACCCAGCTTCTGTCCCCAGAACCACCAGTACCAGTGTCCCCGGTACCCTGTGCCCTGCCCCAACCAGTGTGGGACGCCCAACATCGCCCGGGAGGATGTGCCCACGCACCTGAAGGAGAGCTGCAGCACTGCCATGCTGCTGTGTCCCTTCAAGGAGGCAGGCTGCAAGCACAGGGTGAGTATCCCCAACTCCATGCTGATGTCTCCATCCTGTCCCGGTGTCCTTTGTGCCCCATAGCATCCTTACAGCTCTTGTCCCTGACATGTATCCTACTGCTTGTGGTGTCCCTGCTCCAACTGCTTGGAGCATCCAAGCAGATGAGCAGTCTATTGCTTGAGGTCTCTTCCAACCCAAGCCATTTTGTGATTCTCTGCTCCATCCCATCCCTCTGGCCACATGGTGTCTCCATCCTGTCCTGTCCCCATCCTGTCCTGCATCCCTCCACCGCTGCTGTCCAGCCGGATGTCTGTGTGCCATCCCTTATCCCTGTGGCATCCCTTTGCCATCCCCTCCATCGCCATCCTCACGCGTCCCACCCCACCATTCCTGTGCCATTCCACGGGGTCCCCATGCTGACGGCCCCACGGTCCTCACAGTGCCCTAAGCTGGCCATGGGTCGGCACCTGGAGGAGAGCACAAAGGCCCACCTGGGCATGGTGTGCGCCCTGGTGAGCCGGCAGCGGCAGGAGATCCTGGAGCTGCGGCGCGACGTGGAGGAGCTGTCGGTGAGCAGCGATGGGACCCTGATCTGGAAGATCTCCGACTACGCCCGCAAGCTGCAGGAGGCCAAAACCCGCAGCAACTACGAGTTCTTCAGCCCTCCTTTCTACACCCATAAGTACGGCTACAAGCTGCAGGTCTCAGCGTTCCTCAACGGCAACGGGAGCGGGGAGAACAGCCACCTGTCTGTGTACATCCGCGTGCTGCCGGGTGAATACGACAACCTCTTGGAGTGGCCTTTCTCCTACCGTGTCACCTTCTCGCTGCTGGACCAAAGCGACCCGTCGCTCTCCAAACCCCAACACATCACCGAGACCTTCCACCCCGACCCCAACTGGAAGAATTTCCAGAAGCCGGGGGCGTCGCGGGGGTCCCTGGATGAAAGCACCTTGGGTTTTGGTTACCCCAAGTTCATCTCCCACGAGGACATCAAGAAGAGGAACTACGTGCGGGACAACGCCATCTTCATCAGGGCCGCGGTGGAGATCCCACAGAAAATCCTTTCCTGAGCCCCCCGGAATGGGGGGGGGGACGGGGGGACGGCGCGGTGCTGTCCGTGGTGCTGAACCCCGGGGCTGGGGGCTGGGAGCCCGCTGCCCCTTCTCAGGTGCCCTGGGGGGGGAGGGTTGCAGGGGGGCTGTGCCCCTCATTTCCTCGCTCACCACCACCAGCCTTGTTGGGGACCTGGGGGTCCCCGCTGTCCAGAGCCATATTTTGTAAGCTGGTGCCTCCCCCTCCCCCCCAGGCACGTGTTGGTTATTTATTACCCCAGTGTTCCTTCCTTGACTTTTTTGTTTTTCAATAAACTCTTCTTGTATTTATTAGGAGCTCCTTCGTGTCCCCTGCACAGGGAGTGGTCGGGGGGGCTCTGTGTTCCCTGTAATCGCTGCCCCCCATCCCACAGCAGATAGAGGTGGTTAATTCGGTGCTCGGCAACTGTGCATGGCGCCAGGGTTGTTGTGGGGACCATGGGGGCACCAGGAGAGCGCAGGTGAGGGGCGCAGGGTGATGGTGGTGGCACTGGGGTGGTGACACGGCGCTGGTGGCGTGTCGACATGACAGTCCTGGCAGCGGGATGAACCCAGCGCCGTTCTGATGCCGAGCGCCAGCACTTCCATTGGCCTCACTGTCAGCCACGATTGGATCCGCACCCACTGCGCGCTGCCAGCCCACGCTGGTGCCCGATGCTGCCCCACTGTGGCAGCCGCTGTCCTGAACTGGTCTCACCCCGTATCAGTGCCTCTATCATCTCTTACTGGTGTCCGACAGCCGCTATCGGTGTCCGGTCCCGGTGCCTCCCCGCCCCGCCGCCCATGGCAGCCCGTCCCGCAGCCCGTCTCTCTGCCGCCGCCGCGCGGTTCTCCCTGCAACCTCCTCCATCCCCGCTTCTCCTCTCGGCCCTGACGTCAGAAGGACAAAACGGAGACAAAAGCGCTTTTCTCGGCCTTTATTCAAAGCCCGGTGGGTTTCGCCCTCCCCGGCTCCTCCTCCTCCCGAGGGCGCGGGCGTTCGGTGGGGCTTTGGATTTGGCACCTCTCAGGACGGCGGCCATCCACCCCCACGGAATTCACGGCTTGGACCCAACTGCCTCGAAATCGGCTTCAATGAATGAGGTGAAATACGGTCAGTCGATTTTACCACGCGGCCTCGCAGCGCTGGAGGAGCATTGAGACGGACGGGGGAGGGCTGGGAAATCAGGCGGCAGGCGTTGGTCCCAGCAGGCGCGGTTCGGAGCCCGCCGTTCTGCTCTCCCTTCTTGCAGCTTTGTCCTCACGGGCTGCAGATGTCATCACGGCTGAGGGGACAAATCCCCCTTGGTTCCCTGCTGCCGGGTCTCCAGATGCTCCAAGTCCCCTTCGTGGATCCCCTCCACCTTTTCTCAGCCCCACGCCGCCCCCTGCACCCGACGCTGAGCGATTCCAGCTCCGGGTGCTGCACCCCTTCTGTTCTGCTCCCAGCACAGGGCTGGGGGGGCTAAGAAGCCCTTCTGACCCCCCCCTGCCGGAAGCCACCGCCACCACCGCCGCCCTGGGTTCAAACTGCAGCAGGGTAAGAGAGGAGACGCCAAGGTTTTATTGAGTAGAAAAGGATTTGGGGCGCAGCCTCGGCCTCCCGCCATCAGAGAAACGCTGCACGAAAAGCCTGGGCACCTCAGTTCTTTCATAGATGTATATTTACCATTCACAAAGACTGCAGGAATACGATTAATGAACAATAAATTAGGACTTCATGTTGCTATCGTTTGGCATAACACAATCAGGCAAGTTTTCTTCCTTCCGAACTAGGAGGCGACACAAACCGACGCATCGTCGGATCCACCTGTAGGCAAATTGATGAACCTTGCTAACGAGCCATTGCTGGAGAGCAGCACACCGAGACCTGAAGGGAGGACAGAAGTGCACCAAGGCGTGCGAGGAGCTGGGAAAAGCACCCTGCTCAAGCCCTGAGCCCCGAAGATTCCTTACAGCCCAGGGCCACACGTCGAAATGAAAACAAAATAATACAAATCGATGGGTTTGTGACCTCCAGCCAACTCCGACGCCACTTCAGAGCTGGCGAAGGCCTGCTGTGGTTCGTTTGCTCTCAGTGCCAGCGGATGTCCGTCAGGATCCCACACCGTGCTCATGGAGGAGGAGGTTCTTAAGGCTTCGTTTCCCCGGGGCTGGGAGGGAGGCTCACCCACACACAACGCTACTCGGACCCACGCTACTGGGCGACATTCATACAGAAACATTACACTTACAGCTTACAGTGTAGAGCAGGAGTTTCCTTTTTTTCTTCTTTTTTCTTCTTTTTCTTTTCAGCCAGTGTACAGAGAAAGAATTGATGCGTTTCGCTTTTCGCCTGTTTTTAATTTCCAAACTTGGTGGTGATCATTATGTTCAAGTATTAGTTAAGGGAGAGGTTTTCTGCTTACAACAGATTTGGCTCTAGGAAGGGATAGGGATGCTGGGAAGCAGAGGTTTGTGGTTAGTGTCACAGCAGGGAGGGAGGGAGGGGGAGGCACCGAGACCCTGGGAAAGGAGCATTAGAGCTGCTCAGCCCTGGAGAGAAGCAGCCTAGCGAACGTGCTGCCCTGATGGAGGGAGCGGGGCTCCAGGTCCCACCACCTCCTGCTCCCCTGGCTGCTGAACCCAGCTGTGAGCAGGGCTGGGATCCCTAAGGAAAGCCTTTCCCTGTGGGCAAGCAGGCCTGAGAGCGGCGAGGGGCTCAGAGCTGGTGACCGAAGGGCAGGGAGGCAGCACCTGGGGCAGCCTGTCCTGTCCTGCTGGCTTCACACTGAGCCTCGGCAACGGCCAAAAAGCTTCTTCCTGTCTCAAAGCCTCAACCCCCCCTGAGCTCGCTCTGTGCGTGCTTCTCTCCCATGGAACAGGCCTCTGGATGCTGAGAACGGTCAGCGTTTGATGCATTAACGAAGCGGGGCTTTCGAGTTGAAAAGCCCTGCTTCCTGACAAATCCTGCTGCTCTTTGGAGGAAACTGAGGTGGAAAAGCAGCTATGCTACCTCGATGGGCAACAGATGCAGCTGTGAAACCCTGCAGCAACTCACCATGGGTCCGGCACGCGGGTACTGAGCAGGAGCTGCAGCACGGGGACTCAGTGGTGAGGAAACAGCGGCGGCGTGGAGTAGTGTAATGAAATTCTTGGAAACAAAAGGCATGTTAAATATTTGATGCATAAAGGAGAGAGAGAAAACACGTAAGCAAAGCTTTTAAATATACAGTATGTCTTCTTCCAACGGTTACTATAATGATCACGCAAGTTTGCAAGTTAAAAATGCCTTGCTTCTTCGTTAAAATTAAGACTAAACCTCTAATTTTGTCTGTGAAAGTGACTGCAGCCTATCTATACCCTGGGTGCTGAATATGAAGATTTCGACTATCGCTCGGTTCAGGTGCTCGGTTCATGGGAGGCCGATGGACTTTTCCCAGCACGGCCATGCTCTGATCTCTGAAGCAAGGCTGCTGGAAGTCCCCACTTAGGTAATCCACGGTCTGCATCACGTTGTTCTGGCTGGACGGGCCGGCCCCAGCTCTGTAATGAGGTCCTGCTGCACAATCGAGCGCTGCTCCGGCCGGCGGTCCCCCGTGGAAAGGCATGGCGAGGTCCTGGGAGCCAGAGCTGTCGCTGTTGGGGGTGGGCAGAATGTTATTCCACATGGGCTGGAAGTAGTGCCCGTTGGTGTACGGCAAGGGTCCCTGCAGGCCGTTGACGGGAGGGGAGGGCGTGGGCTTCTCAATGGGGGGCTTCAGGCCGAAGGACTGGCCCATGCACAGTTCTTGAGGGTAGCTGGAGGCTTTGCCAGGGAAACCCTGCCCCGCCATCTCTCTCGGAGCGTGCTTCCCCGCCAGCGCGGCGGGCCCGGCGGCGTCCCCACACATTTGCTGCAGATGAGCGAGCTGGTGCTGGTTCCACGCCACCGACTTGATTTCGTTCTGGTAGGCGGGAGGCACCCTGTTGATATTCACCATGGGCACGTTAACAGAGGCAGAAGGGATAGCAGCAGCGGCGTGATCGACAGGGTTCACTACACAGGAAGGCATGGGCGTGGGGACGTTGTGAGTAGAGACCCTGGTACTTGCATTGATAAGCAGGTTGCGACTTATGGGGCTGGGGTTTGCGATCTGTCCCTCACACACTGAGGTAGTGCTAATGCCAGCTCTGGCCTGGCAGAACTGGTTAATCTGGTGCACGATGCTGCTCAGGTCCGGTGGCTGGTTCTGCTGCAGGGTGGCAGCCATAGAGAGGGGAATGGTTGAGGTAGACACGGTCACATTCGGCGGCGCGTCCGCATCCGGCATCTTTCTGCTCCCATGTAAAGCCGGCTGCAGCAAAGGGTTCGGGGGGGGCTGCAGCGCCTGGTGTGCCACGGTCTGAGGATGCTGCAAGCCCTGAGGCTGCGGCACGTTCTGAGGGTGCGGCAGCGCCTGCGGAATCCCCTGAGGGTGGGCTAAGCTTTGCGGCTGCGGAATACCCTGAGGGTGCTGCAAAGCCTGCGGCTGCGGGATGCTCTGGGGGTGCGGCAAAGTCTGTGCATGCTGGAGAGCCTGCTGGCGAGCAAGCGCCTGGGGGTGGGTTAAAGTGCTCGGTGCAACGTACGGCGTGGAAGGGGGGTTCATCATCGCCTCCGGCAGCAGGCGTGTGCGCGTGCCGTCAAAGTCCTTGAGGATTCCTTTCGCTGGAGACTTGACGATGGCCAGGAGGCCGGTTTTCGTGGTGGCCTGAGATGGGTAAGGGCTGTACCTCTGGCCCGAAGTGTCGAGTCCGTTCACAGTACGGCGTATGTGTTTGCGTTGCGGAACCTTGACGCTGTTTGGAAAAATTTTTATAGTCAGGGGGTTGTTGGCGACCTTCTTAGCATAGGCATCCAATTCTGCTGGGGTAGGATACTGTGCAGATCTCATTTTCTGTGTAGTGTCCCCTGTGGAGAAAGGAAAGAGGTCAATGCTCAACGTGGGGAGCACGGGACCAACCCGGGGCGCGACGGCCACGCAGCGAGGGGAGAAACGCTGTGTGGAGCCGGGAGGTGAGAGCTGCATCTCCCAGACCAGCAGAAACCTCATTTCCTTTGGTATCCAAAGACCAACACGACCCCAGTGGGGCAAAATCTGCCCAACAGAGCAAAGCCAGGCCTTGATCAGTGTTTTCGGCAGGACAAACCCAGGAACAGGCCAGGAGCACCACATCTACCATCGTCTGCCCACGTCCTCTTAATCTCAAGCCACCCTCCCACTCCTCCTCGAGCCGTTTGCCACATCTTCAGCCTGTCATTCAGGAACCAGAAAGCAGCGAGTGAAACATTACACTCTGAGGTGGGAGCTGCACAAAGCACTTCAGCTCAAACCTCCATTTAAGCCCAAGCTCTTTTCTAGCTGCTGCCATCCAAAAGCACTCTGAGTGCCTTTTTGTCCATTAGGATCCTTGTCAGTCCCAGTTCAGCAAATGGAAGGCAGCTGCACACACATTCCTTGATGGCTCACCATTATTTCTTCAGCTGAATGCTCAGTGTGGCACCTTGCTAGGGCAGCATCCCGCTGGCAAACAGCAAAATCAGGTGAGTACCTCACAAGATAAAAACCACGCTTCGGGAGCAAAGGCTCCTGGAGACAGAGGTGTGCCTTCATGGCTGTGCCCAACCAGATACCTACCTTGCCTACAAGCCCCAAGTGCTTTTGGAAAGAACTTCAGAGGTGCAGGGGAACACTGTGCCTCTCATGTCATCTCATTCCAAGCAGAGCTGGGCCGTATCCCAACCACAGCCCTACAAGACTACTGCTTCCAAAGTGATTTTGTAACCTTCCAACGACATCTCACAGCTTCCACAGCCCCGCTTTGCTTTTGCTTTCCTCCCTCCCCATCTCACAAATGCTTCACTGGTAGAAAAACACCCGACCCTTTCTGCTGAACTTGCCAGCATCCCCACGCCACCCACTGCTCCTGCAGAGAGCACTGCCAGTCCCCACCCAGCCCCTGACCCACAGCGATGTGATGCCCCGTGCTTCCAGGTGAGCAATGCTCCCTTTTGTACATCCACCTCTGATGCTTCTGAGCAAACTGCCTGCAAAAGGCCCCTGAACACGGCTGCGATCTGAGCACTTTATCTTTTGAATCCTGCAGCTTCCCGAGGAGGGAGATCAGCGCTTCTCAGAGAGCACTCGCTGTCAGGGGTAAAACAGGACAGGTAGCAGGAGGAAGGATAATTACAGATGTGCCTTTTGTGCAAGGAGCAGCTCGGCAAGCAGGCTGCCTCACACCGCCAGCACAGCGTGTCCCACGCTGCCATGCACAGCCCTGCTCTCCACGTGCTACCCAAACACTGGCACACTTCACTCTTCTTAATCAAAAGCAAGCTTTGTTTGATATTAACCTGAACATCCTCCCTGCTCCCATCTTCCACTGCAGCCAGGTGGCTTCTGTTTGTCCATTGGAGGGAGCTGCTCTGTTCTGAGTGGAGCCTCTGCATGGAGCTTATCAGAAGCCGAGGCCTTCACCAGCTCCCTGGTATTTTTAGCCTTGCCCCAAACTCATCAAGCTCTGCTCCTCCCCACAGCTGACCCCTTGCAGCACACCACGAATCAGAGAAGGCCATTCTCACATCAAGCTTTTACTTTCAGATGGTGGGTTAGACTTCTGCAGGCACACAGCACGCGAGGTGTGAATGCTGATGGTGAATGGATGCGTTCAGTATTCCTGTACTCAGGCACCAATGTTTCCATCATGCAGGAACTGCATGGGAACCTTTCACAGAGCAGCTAACGCGTTTTTCTCTGACCAGGTTGCATCTCTGGGTTACAGCACACCTGTAAGTCGGCATCGGGATGGATTCCTTCCTCTCAAGGGTGAACATCACCCCTCAGGCAAACTTAAGTAACTCAGCAAGTTTGGTATCCAACCAAATGGGAAAACACCTTTGAAATGCCTTGGACAAGATCTTCTGAAGCACAGCACCCCCTCATGCAGACCCAACCTGCATCTAAGCCGGCTGCTCTGCCCAGATGTGACCAAAACGACGCGTTTCTGAGGGTGCCAGCACTGTGTGCTGCTGGTAGCTCCACAGGCAAGGTTTGATGGCTGGATAAAAGGTGTTTTGAGAAGGGAGAAAAGCATTATGGGGTGATGGAGAGCCTGAATATCTAAAACAAACACCCTACCAACCAGCAAAGAACAAGGCCTGGTAACTACGTGAACAAAAAACCAGCTGAAGTAGACCGTAATAAAATGCTGATACTAAAAAGAATGCATGCACACCGGTAAGCACAAGAAGCCCACATCAGCCCTCGCAGCCATGACGGGGTGGCAAACAAACAAGTTCCACCCAGAAAACAACGGGACGAGCTGCACAGCTTCCTTCTGCTCAACGCAGGGCAGAAGCCTTTTGTTGGGACCTAAGGATGTGGTGTTTACTACAGGGTAGAGCTGTGCATAGGAGCAATTACCCCCGGAAAGCAGCGAGCTGTGAGATCGCGCTCCAGCAGCACGCAGCTCCTCGGCTCCCCATGCTGCTGCTATTTGTGTCACAGGAGGAGACACGTTTCTCTGCCTCACCTCAGCACCCATGCAGCATCTCCTAAGTGCCTCTCACACGAAGCCTTTAAAACCCACAGCTTCTCAAATTGCCCACGGTTAATTTTTCATTAAGAACAAAAGTGCCTTCAGGATTCTTACCCCAGTGAGAGCATCTGTACCAGGACAGAGAAGAACAGCTGTGCCACGCTCTGCTCGACTCTCAACTGCAGCATCTCCACTCCAGGCTTTACAGAAAGAGCTTTCAGGGAGGATGGGGTTTGGCTGCTGACCTGCCTTCAGCCTCAGCCTGCTCCTCTCTCTTTCACCTCAACTTTGTGCCACTGTCACCACACGTCTCCCTTCTCTGCCCCAGAGGAGAAACGTCAGGGGAACTCCTCCTGTGATGCTTAGAGGCTGCAGAATTCAAAGGGAAACACTGCAATCTGCAGTCCCGTGGTCAGCTTCAACAGAAATGAATGGGTGCACATATGAGTCCCCAGAGCAGCTCTGTGAAAAAGGCTGCTTATATGAAAGTAAGAAAGAAAAAAAAAAAAAAGAAGGTAATCGAGCTAATGTGGATTTTTTAAGTGTGAATCAAAAGTTTGATCCAGGAAATGACACTTTGAAATTATGAATACAAACACGGCAGATCTGAGTAAAGGTCATCAGGTGGAGTTCTGGGCCTTTTAGCAGAGCAACAGCACCATTATTAAAGCCCTATTCCACCCCCATCAAAAGTCACAAGTCACCGCTCGTTAAAAATACTCATTAACTCAGCTTTCCTCTGGCCAGGGGCTAGACTACTCGTGCATACACAGTGTGCAGAGAACTGCACCAATTAATCCCGTGCCCATCTGCAGCAGGACTGAGCAAGGTCTGCACGAGCAGTTCTGTTTCCATATAAATCAGAACAAAGCGGCACAGAAGAGCATTACCTCCAGCCTGCCACCTACCTCTGTCCTCCATTCCTTTCACCACAGTGCCCTGAGCCCTTCACCCAGCACTGCCTTCAGCACGGGGGCAACTCACCCCCAGGAAGGGCGCCAGGTGAGCAGGCTGCCTTGCAGGATGTGTAATTAGCAAGTGCCTCACGGTGCCACCTCACGCAGCCTGCACAATTTGCTCTCAGGACTGAATGTTCCGATGCACCGCAGCCTCACGTAACGCATGGAGCTGGGCACAGCCTCACCACAGCAGCCTACCTTGTTTGTTCAGCAAAACTGGCAACAAGAAGGGAAAGCAGGGAGAGCCCACGCTGTCTGATGAAGTCCTTCAGTGTGGAAAGGCTTTTTACCACTGCCACAAGTGTCACTGTAATTAGTGAGCTGGTGGAGTGCACGTGTGTACGTGAGCGATGCCGCTCACTGCTGGCAGGACTGGTACCTTGAGAAAGTCATCCTTAATTGCAAAATTAGCTTACCTATTTTCAGGAGCATCACAAACCTCACTGTATTAAGAACTTAGCTAAAACTGGAGTGTTAATTATTTGGTTTTCAAGAGCAACGAGTCCAGGAGCAAAGTGAGGGCGCTGAGATCTCCCAGTGCAAATTTCAAACACAAGGTTACAGCCCTACAAACCAGGAACACAGACCTTATGTGTCTCTCTGCTATTTCAGCTGATCAACCACGGTGCAAGTTCAGTGAGAAAGAGACAGAGTCAGATTTAGAGCAACTCTAGCCAATAAACTTGAATTCCCAATGCAAGTTCTTCTAAAAAGACAGGTTCAACTATCAGAAAAAGGCTGAAGTCATTGCACGTGAGTTATCACAGTACTCTGCAGACATGTTTTCAGAGCACCAGAGACATCAGAAAGAAGAAGGAAACTTTGAACTTTAGTAATTTGGGTGAGATCACCAATATTTGCAGCCTGACCTCAAAAGGTTTGCATTAGCCTGATCCAGCTTTTAGTGGTGCCATTAGACGAATGGAAACGAAAAGGAGTAGGGAATAAAAGTTGTGCTAAGCAGCAAGTCAAGTGACATGCCTCTAGCACAACATGTTTTCAGCAGAGGCAAGAATCTCACAGAAACCATGCCTGCATCTTGTCCTGCTGTGGTTAAAATTAACCTTTGTCAAGCCTTGCTGCACACACGTGAATCTCCACAGCGATTTCGCATGCTGATGGATGCCCTGAAGGCAGAACTGAACCCAGCCTCTAGCATTAAACAGTTTTTCCGCCCTACCCTAAATGTTTTGTTTCACAGCTGTACCAGAGCCAGATTTAACAGTTAACCACATCCTGCAGACAAAACGTCACTCACATTTCTGAAGTCCAGTGTTCATCTGCGTGTAAGAAAGAAGCTGAAAGGAGAGGTCACCTGGTCCTGGCAGACAGGCCAGCATGGCAGACAGGCACTAACACAACATGGGCCATTCACTCCTCTGCACACTGCAACAACAACAGAGAGACAATTCAAAGTTATAATACAAGGAGGAACAGAGAAAAGAAAGGCAGAGAGCCATCGCTGCGTGAAGACCTGACCAAGCACAGATGCACGTCACCTGCACGTCTGGGGACAGCAAGAAGTGGGTTAGGACTCAAATATCTCTGCTGAAACTCAAACACCTGCTGTCTGGCACACGGGGTAACCCCTAAGTCTGCCCTTGGATTCGAAGCTGGTTGTTCCAGGTGGAAGAAAGCCACCACAGGGAGCAGGGAGCTGCTGCCACCCATAGCTCAGCACATCTGGCACCAAACCTGAAACCAAAGCACCCGAACTCCTGAGACGTCACCACACAGCGACGCTCCCACCATCGCTGGACACACTGCTGCTCCAGACACAAAGCCAACATTGGCTCCAAGTCTCCAAGTGAGCCATGCTGGAGGTATCAGCTGCCTTCTCCTTGCCCTCATCTCCCCAAGTAACAGTGCTGCTGCATGCAGAGACACAGGTCACCACGTGAGAAACACAGCTGCACCAGTGAGCTGCTCCTGCACACACCATGGAGCATCATCTCAGGTGATGCCAAAGGTTCAGAAAGGATTGAGGTGGCAGTAACGTTTTTAAAGGAAATAATCTGCCTTTAAAAAAAAATAAATAAATCACTGTAAAGTGGAAGCATGAATTCATTCTCTGAGCCTGATTTGCAATAAGCAAATTGATGCCATCTAGGTCACTGCTGAGCATTAAAAAAAGGAATTCAGATTTGCACAGAAGTGCTGACCGCACTCCATCGCTGAATTCCGTATTATAATGACAACCGTGCTCCAATTTTTGTTCTCTATTCTTGTCTTTTCAAACCTGCTGTCTCTGTAGCTGACCACAGATGCATTCTTACGAAGCAAAGGGGGGAGACCCATCCCTGGAGGCGTCCCAGAGCCGTGGGGATGTGGCACTGAGGGCTGTGGTCAGTGAGCAATGTGGGGTAGGGACTGGGGATCTGTGAGCTCTCTTCCAACCTGATGGTGTGATTCTATTTCCTGCTCCAGGCAGCCCACTGCATCCTGCAGAGTGACTTAGGGCTCACGGGTGGCAGAGAAGCTCTCCACAGAGGGTCGACACGCAGCCTCACCACAGCACTGCCATTCTCCACAGCACTGCCTTTCTGCACTGAAGGTATTTCTAGAAAAACATACAGAATCTGCTGGCTGGTATTCAAAGCTCCATCTTGCCTCTGCCAGATCCCACGCCAGGAGGGACCTTCAGAAGGCAGAATAAAGCCTAGGTGTAAAGCAACTCGGTGCTAGTAGGAAACGTCTCCTGCACTAACACAGTTTTATCGCTGTATAAACAGACCCCATACGTAGAGTCACTGCCAAGTTGTTACACACAGGAGTGCCTGAGGCTCTCGGAGGCCTTACAGGGTAAGCACACAAAGGAGGCACTCCCCACAGACCACCCTGGCCAGTGAAAGATGGGAAACCAGGCCGGTAGAGACGAAAGCAAGCTGGCAAAGTCTAAAGTTAGATCCATGAAAGTAAACACGCGAGGTTGACATTCTGAGATGAACTGAGGGCCTGTTCACCAAGCTGGGGGAGGCAGGAGCAGCTCCTCACACCAAAGGAAAGCTCCAAATTGCTCCATGCTTCCAGCACCATGGGGTCCCGTGAGCTGGGAGATGCTGCCCAGTGCTTGCGGCCGACTGCTCCGCTCTGCTGCTCCTCCTTACTCACCAGGCGGCTGCGTGGGATTCCATCCTTGCTGATGGGATCGGTGGCAAACCCTGAACGTGGGCTGCACAACCTGGGCTCAGCACGTATAAATGCTGCAAGCAAACCCCAAAAAATGAAGGTGGGTTGTAAGATTTCTTTGGTACAAATGTTTGCAGCGGCTTGCCAGGAAACACAAGTGAATCCAGGGCAACCTTCATGCTCCAGGGGAACCTCGGCGTCTCATTTACCCCCCAGCAGGCTGCTCGAGACCAAACGAGACTCGTTCCTTCTCCCTCTCTCAAAGTAACCTAAATACAGAGGGCTTACAAATTGGTTCATACCAAGCTGAAGCCCCCTGGCAGCAGCTGCTCCCTGCACGCTCACCGCAATGCGCGCCCGCTCGGCGCTGCACAAGAGCCAGACTGAATCTCGCTGGTTCCTGGAGCGCAATGAACTAACCACACCAGCTGGCAGCTCATCCTTTTAATGTTTTAGCAATGGTGAACTGCAAAATAACGTGTGGAGAGGCACTCTGTAATCAATCAGAGCAGCATCAGTGTATTTGGGGATGGGGAATTAGGAAGACCGAACAACGGGAGCAGCGCGGTGCTCCCAGCATCCAGCAGCACCGTGCCTCCTGGCTCTGTGCTCGGGTGGACCTTTAGCAGAGCCCTGCAACAGTTTCAATCAGAATCAATTTCTGCTTCTTGCAGTTTAATTAACTATGATTTTGCTCATAAACCGTTTTGCCTTTGGGGCTGACCTGCATTTATAACTTAACTCAGGCAGCAAAATCCAATGGTTTGGAGGGGAGAGAGGGGAGGGTTTACATGCACGTGCTCTGCTCTGAGCTGAGCTCTGCTCACAGGGCGAGGAGAAAATGAAGAAGCCTCGGAGGATCAGCACAGTGCACACAGCACACTCCTCGTGCCCAAGGACTGCCACTGAAGGCTTCCAGGTAAGCAACTGGAGCAGGATGAAGTGCAGGAAGAAAGGCAACACCAGTTCCATCAGACCCACTCCTGGGCGAAGCAGCACAGCTCAAGGTTACGATCCCCAGCTCTGAAGAGCTGTTTTTAGGTTGGTCCCAACAGATTATTTTAAACCACAGCGTTACACATCTGCTGAGAGCAGAACAGTTGGCTTTAATTGTACGATGGGTTTTTACACAGCTTCTGACCTTTCATCTAATTGAGGCCTAAAGAAGAAAAAAAGAGGAAAAGCTCGACGTCACTGCAGTTATTAAAATCCATCAAGCTCAGACTTTAGCCCTGGGATAACCACAGCCAAAAAATTGACTTGCAAGTAATTATCACTGCTATCTGCAATAAAAGTTAATTGGACATAATTGAACTAAAGCCCTAATCTGAATGAAGCTGCTGCTGGCAAGAAGCCTGCTCCTGCCTGCACTCTGCAAATGAAACTGCTAGCAGTATAACAGCCCAATCACAGCACGATTTCGCACGCTGCTCGTTAGCTGGGCTGACACAGCCAGCAGCAGGGCTGTCCTCAGCCAGGAACGGAGCTGCTGCCCGTGCCCAGGCCATGCTGGTGGCCAGGGAAGCGAGCCCCTCTCCTAACTGCTGCTGCTTCACCTGCTTGTGTTTGGCATTTCTGTTGCCCAACAGACCAGAAAGCAGCAGTCATCCTCCCGGCTTCAGGACTTCCTTCCAATTGCAATTATTAACACGCCGTCCTGCACCACAGCAGAGCGGAGCGCTTCACACACGTGACTGAAGCCACACGAGGCACTGGAACGGGCAGAAATTGCTCACAACTCATTCTGCAGAAGCTTAAAGGGGGTTTTGGACCAGATTTATGTTCCAAGACCGGTCTCATGATTACGGAGCAGACAGAGGATGTACCTGGCTCACCATGGGCTCCTGACGTCATTTTGGATGCGGCGTTTAATCAGCTCCCGCCACGCTCCTTCCATTCTAAATGGATAGCAGTGGGTGACAGTTTCTACCACTGAAGAATACTACAGAGATAAATTCAACTGCAGAACATTCAATACCACCTTGACATCTCACATTACATTTACAAGGTCAAAATCCGGGGAGGAACTGGAATCAGACCACGCTGCACTCCTCCACTCCATTTACTCACTGCTGCTGCTCTTCCTTCTCATTTGTCAAAGCAGAATTTTAGCTCGAGAAAGCTGGAACAGAGAACCAGTGATATAAATTCCCTTTCATGACCCAAATCGGTGGCTTATTTTACTTTACTCAAAGCCTATCACCTCTTTTTAAGCCTATTTTTAGATTCTACTCCCTGTTTTGCAATGTGGAGGGAGCTGATAGACGAGGCAGCCAGGAGGAGGTCCTGCCAGGTGTGGCAGGTCTCTCCGAAGGGCAGGAAAGATGCAGAAAAGACAAGCTGGGACATCTGCAGTGCCTGGCCACAGCTTCAAAGGAGCATTTCTGGCACTGCTTGAAACACATACACTCGTGGTCAGTTATGAGACACGGGGAGATTACTTACACTATGGGAGCTTAAGCAAGAAATAGGAAAATCAGCCTGGCCGTATTCAAAGCGATTTGAATAACTCTGCATTTGCCTCCTCTGAATTTTTACTACGCTGAAGCACTCTGACCTTTAATTAATTTTCCTTCGCCTTTTATATGGTAACATCCAACTCTGAGGTTTTTCAGAGCTGTATTGGTGGGTAATGGGGATGCAGAAACAGTCTGGGATGTATCTGAGTTCTGTTTCGCAGTGCATAAATCTGCATTTAGGAGAGAGAGAAAGGATGCCCAGCAGTGAGGCACTGCTCCCACCAACAGCCCTTCTCCATTCTCATGCACAGCTTCCTTCTGCCCTCAAAGAAACCCTACTATGCACAGATCCCCTTCCCAGAGCAGAGCATACAGCTGCAGGCTCAGCACCAGCACGTGTGTGCTGCAATCCCATGTGTTCAGGTGGCTGGGAGCAAGGTGAGGTCATCGTTCTGCAGCTTGCTGCCCCACCAAGGAGCTGCATGGGCTGTGTGCTCCTTGCACACTCAGCTGCAGCATCTCCTGACAGCTCCTCCTGCCCTGCACTGCTTTGTAGAGGAGCAGGAAGCTTTGCTGAGTGCCTGGGCGAAGGGGGAAGGAACACGAAATACTTCCCTCTCTGGTGCCTGGATCACCTCCACAGTTATCTTCTCTCATTCCACACTTCCCCTAGAAGAGCCCAGGACTTAAGTCTTAATCATCACTTACAGAAATCCTTGTGGCTGCACGTGACAGGAGAATGACAGTTTTTCCTTGTAAAGCATCATTAGAAGTTAGAGATTATGACAGTTCCCCGAGCAGGAAAGTGGCTCCTTTCCTTTATTACAAGCTGATTATTTAAAAAAAAAAATACTTTATCAGAGCCAACTTTGAACATATTTTGCCTATCCACAACACACAAACAACAAACCAGATGTGTTAGAGACTGAAAAATGTGTTTGAACTCCCGTTTTAAAAATAGATTCCCTTGAAAACGAGAAAATATTTGCAAATAAGATAAGGCAGGATGAACATGGAAAGCAAGGAGCAGAGCTCTCACGCTGAGACAAGGAGGAGTGACTCACTGAGGGCTGGATGCGATGCTGCTGGATGAACACGTGGGGTCTGTGCTGGCTGTGCTGGCTGTGCACGAGTCCCTCGGTGGGACACAGAGGTTCTGCTGGCTCCTGACAAAGCAGCTTGGAGATTCATCTGTGACCGCAGGCACAAGACAAGCTGCTGGTGGAACACAGAGCACAGACAGACAGACGCTGCTGTGCCCAGGAAGGCATTTGCTGCCTCGCTCCAGGCGAGGTGCCGGCTCCTGCTGGGGCGTACTGACACAGAACTCTGCCCTCACCAAGAAACTCAAAGCTTATCTCGCTGCAAGAAAGAGGTTCTTTTTTTTGTGCTACAGTAAAGAAGCCTGTGCTTCGCTCTGTGCTTTTCCAACAAGCACAAGTGGCCGGTGGCACTGCCAGCTGCTCAAACAACGACAGGGAGAGCCACACAAGTTATGCAAGGTGCTCACAGGCTCTGCACGGTGCAGGAACCACAGATCCCTGTCTGCAGGCCCAGCAAAACACTGCAGAGCAGTCTCACCCAGTGGTCTGAGCAGCCACAAACACATCACCCCAACAAAAACCCGCACGCACGTTTGTTTTTTTCCACAGTGAGGTGCAGCAGATGAATTGCAGACAGGACAGGGATACACAGCTGTAGCTGTTCTTCAAACCCAGGCCACTGCTTTTCCAACCACACAGTAACCAAGCCAGTCAACCAATTCCAAAAAGTAAATTTTTCAACCTTCAATTAGCTGCATTAGCACTGTTTATAACCGTGTGATTGATAAATGCTCTCCAGAAGCTGTAATGAATGCATTTTGCTCTCGGAACACAACACTGAACCCCTTGGCACTCGATGCTTAATGAAAAGCAATTTATCAACTTGCTTTGAATAGCTGAATCTGACTCCTTAACGTAGAGAGCTTTGCCTGAAGAGCTCCAACTCTGAAAAAGCAACGCGTATCCCAAACCCACACATGCTGTCAGACACAACTCGGATTTTGACAAGGATGGCAATGACCAGAACGCTCATCTTGCTGAGGAAGAGGTTTTTTAGGACAATCCTCACCCCCCCAGCAGTGGGTCTGCAGACGTGCTGCTCCAGCATGAAGGTTACAGCTGTGTTCTTAGGACACTGGACCAAGCTTGTGGCCAAACTGCACTGACACACGTGGAGAAGTGGAAGCTCAGCGACTACCAGCCTGGACACGAGTTCAGCTGCATACAAAGCAAGCAAAAATAAAGTGCTTACAGAGTGTCTGAATGCTAATTTCTCAAATGGAGACTCGCTTTGTGTATTTGACATATGCAAAAAAAAAAAAAAAAGAAAAGAAAAGAAAGAAAAAAAGCCAACCCAGCATTTAGAAGGAAAGGCTTGACATCACAGAATGCTATGCTGGTATTAACTGCTGGGGGGATTAGCCAGCCTTCAAAGCCTGAAATCTAAACTCACATTTCTGGAAGCACAGGCTACAAATATCCAATACAGAAATTGGTCTGCACTCCATATGGTAGCCTGAATGTAAGGATTACATATTTCCACTGCACATGTACGTCTGCTTCCCATTCCTGCAGAGTCCTGCCCTCTTCCATTTGTCTTTTGATTCAGATAAAAGCCAATGCAGATCCTAACTGCTGATATGGAGAAAGGTGCAAGGCACAGTGTGCCTTTGGATGAAGGAAGAAAAGGACTCGGGTCCGGACTGCTAGAGCATGTTAGGAGATTGTCTTTGAAACTACAAAACCAGAAATGAAAGCGCTGCTTTTGTATTTTGATTTGATCAAAGCAACTGGGGGCGGGGGGAGAAGAAATCACATCCTACAGATGCAGGCTAAATTTTAACTACTTCACACATAATGTGGGACCAGCTGATCCCATACAGGCCTAAAGAAAGAGAGAAAACAAAGAGGTAAAGTCACTCTAGCTCTGAATGTGCTCTTTCCACAGATCGCTGCTTCAGGGCCTGCCAAAGAGCAACAGGAACCCGTTTCAAAGCAAGAAAGACACAGGAAGCATGTACCCAGCCAAGGGCACACATTGTGAGTCTCCTGCAAAGAGCAGAGCAGAAAGCTCCTGGCAAATCAAGGGAAACACACTCAGAATGTAAGGGCTGCTCGGGGACATAACCTGGTACTCCCTGTGACTGCACCCACATCTGAGAGCAAGAAGCAGCAGCGTGTGAGGAGCCTCCAGAGGAGGGCTCTGTGCTGCCTGGGGACAAGAGGGGATCCTGAGAGCAGCTGCTCAGATCCACGCTCAGCACAGGGGAACGAAGTTGCAAAGCACAACTGCAGGTCCCGAGCAGCAGAGAATAAACAGATACCTGTGGCTGCCACGCTTCCTGATAAAAAGGATTACAGATACCTGCTGGGTCAGCTGTGTGCTTGGGGAAACTTCTGACTGTAGCAGGTGAACCATTTCCTCTGGGCCAGAATGATGGAGCTCTTTGCCCTTCGCTAAAAATTAAGCAGAAGTCATTTGAACAGATGACAACAGCTGCACACAGGAGATCAGAAAGCTCTCCAGATGCTGATTTTGAATGAAATTCAGAAGCCAGCATAAACCAGATTTTAAACATAGAATAATCCTTACCATTATTTGCATGAGAAAACCAGGGAAAACGTTCCATGCCTGCACTCTGAAAACCTCCAGGAACACGTGGGGTTAAAAAGGAGATCCTGATGAAAAGGACAAGAACTGGAGACTGCAAAATAGGACCAGAAACTGTTTCTAGAATCTTCATGTGACAACTGGAAGTACGGGGAGCCCGGTCCTGAAATCTGATGGTGGTTGAGCACATTTCTCCCTTTTGTGCTGTATGTTCTGATGGATCTCAACCTGCATCCTGGGGCACCTCGTGCGAAGGAAATCTTTGACCTTTCTCACCAAGACTGCTCGCAATTATGGACTGAAAAGCATCAAAAAATCTCAGCCCTAAATCCAAAGCTTCTTCCCATCTTGTTCTTTCCTTTACTGAATGCCTCCTGATTGTGCCAAAGCAGAATATTCAGACCTCAGTCTGAACAGCCCGGGTGTTATGCTGACGGTGTCTCTGGAGAGAGGAAGAGAAGCGAGGACGGATTTCCAATAGCTCAGATGCTCCTCCGTAAGAAAAGCTGCTACACAGCAAGAGTGATAAATAAAGAGGGAAAGTAACACGCTGGAGAACTTCTACCAAGGTCACACCAGGCTGCTGAGCACTACCCATCTGCAGGCAGGATTTAGATCCCCATGTAACTACGCAGATCCATTTGCTTGTTGGCAGCAACAGTCCTCATTAAACCAAACCGGTTCTAAGCGTGAAAGGGAAGATGAGATGAGCTAATAAATACAAAAGGAAAGCCAACAGACTTTAGTCCTTCTCAGGACAACAGCCAGGCAACAGGAAGAGCACGTGCACGGGTGCATGGGTGGCACTGCGTGTCCCAGCTGGACAGGAGGAAGAGTGCAGCCACGCTGGGCTCTAGAAGCCATTGCTGTGCCCCTATCGAGAGCGTTCCTCGCCTGTTTCAGCAGGCTGAAAGACACGCTGGGCACCATTTCAAGCTATGACAAAGTGATCTTATCACTTCTGTGCTGTACTCGCTACACAAGGCCCTGATTCAGCAGCATGTAAAAAAAAATATATCTTCATTTGCATGAAAAACACTCTGATCACAGAGTCTTCTGTTCAGCAGCCCCCTTGCCATCCCCAGCTCAAGATGCACGCACTGCTGGCATTTTGCTGGCGACTAGAGGGGAATATTCTGCATATGCTCTGCACGTTTTAATGCAATCTTTTCCTAAAATTTTAACAGTATTCTCAAACAACACAAAAGCTGCACACATTCAAACAAGGCAAACGCTGCCAAGTGCTTTCACTGGCACTTTTCGTAACTGGGCCACACAAAGGACATTTCATACCAATGCACAGCAAAACAAACAGCTCCAAAATGCCTCTGCTGCTCAACAAGTCCAGTCTTTTCCAGTCCGCCTTTACAGTGCCTTGACACACAGCACTAAAAGAGGATAGATTTGAAACTAAAGGAAGGTGTAGCCATGCAAAGAACAATGTTCTGACCGCAGTCAGATTAATCTCTGTCGTGGGAAACCAATAAGAACCTCTATATTGTTATCTTCTGATAAAAAGGGATTGTTAAAGCTTAACTGTGTTTGGAAACTTGCTCCTTTGGACTAAAGCACGAGCTCAATGCAGAGAGGTGCAGACTTAAGCCATCGATTCTCGCCTGATTCTGAGGGAGAAAGTCCACTAGTGCAGCAGCTGGAGGCTGGATCCAGCAGTCCCAAGCCCTTCCCTGATCACAGAGGGGTCACAGAGGCCATCCCCGGCCCCCTGCCCCGTATCAGGTAACAACCACCGCCTCTTATGAGCCACAGTGAGTCACGTCCCGCAGACACACCCTGAAACCACATCAGTCTCTCAGCCAACTCAGCTCAAATATAAATACCTGCCGTCCGGGCAGCAGCGCAGTCCCCATTGAGAAACGTTTCCCTTCCTGTTCACCCAGCACTGAAGCATTACAATGTGAGGCTGACCCAGTGCCCTCCCGTCCCTGCCGAGCGTTTTGGGGCTCTGCTGAGCTGCTCTGCCAGCAATTCGTGGCCCGGTGCAGCGCATGAGATCACAGCCCCGGCCCTCACAAAGAGCAGACCTGTAAATGACATCTCGAGGATTAAACTGATTGAGATGCAATTTGCCTAGCAACCATTCATTAAGCAGAGTTCAGAAACAGGCCAGCAATCTCTTCCACCTCCTTATCGGAGCAGTAAACAGATAGCAGGCTCTGCTATGTCCTCTCTCCTCCGGCTCAGACACGGTGCAAACACATTTCTCACAAGTTTCGGCTCCTGCAGCCAACAGCAGAGCACAGCTGTGCCTCCCAGCACGAGGGCGCAGCGCTCACCCACACACGGCAGCTCCACGATGGCGATGCAGAGCACACGGGGAAGGCAGCTGCAATTCCCATCTCCCCGGTGTTTTCTCACATCCAGCACCAAATCCTGTCCTGATCTTCTGCAAAAACAGCCAAGCGATTCTCCATCACGCAGCGCTGCTCCGATAGCTGGAAAAAAAACTCGATGGAAATCTTATTCCCCTCCTTCATCTGCTGAAAGGAATCGATTGGCGCTCCCAAAGTCCTCAATACAGCCCCCCCAGCACAGAGAAGGGAACCAAAATCACGTCCTCCTTTCCCGTTAAGCATTTCTCCTCATCAAACAAGCGAGACAATGCCAACGTCACCAGCAAAAATCAAAGCAGCTATTTCAGCTCCGAGGATTGCACTGAAAAGATTAAGCAAAATCCTGATTTTGTGTGATTGCTTCCCCATAAGAAACATCTGACAATATCCTATTCTGCTCCCAAATGAAACAACACAGTGAGCTCGGACACATTTCATTTAAGGCTATATACCTGAACGGTTTTCCTTTGGTGAACTGCTCTTCTGGGAAATCACTGTGACATACAGCACGCTACTGCAATTAAATATGCAAGAAAGAAGAATTAAACTGGCAATGAATAATTAATAGCATGTAATACTACTTCATAAGGAAAGTCTGGCTGAATATTCCCACAGATGAGAGGTACCTGAGCGCATGGCACATCACAGCTTTACTTTCACCATGCAGCCCAGGGCCCCACGATGCTGTGGCTGCTGCTCGTGCCTCCTCCTCCTGCCCAGCAGGACCCAGGGAAGCTCCAAGACAGACAAGCATTGCAATATTGCAGTTGTTGCTCTGCTCATCTGCATTTCAGTGTTACCAGGCTTCCCCAACGCTACCCGTTAAAAAGTGCACAGCAATTATTTCACTTCCCAGTAGAGAATAAAGCAAGTATGACGCAATGATTACTTACAAGATAATATCAGGCTGAGGTTGGGAGGAAAGGAAAACAACTGAAAAAGTCTGCAAGAGCAAAAGAATGCAGTTTACTTTTCCAGAACCTCTCTTAAAGAGAAAGATAGAATCTGCTTGCCCAGCAGGCCTTCCTCCTTCATGTTTTGGAGGCCACGTCCCTCCTGCAACCCTGCCATACCACCTTCCAGACAACATGGCGATGGAAAACATGCTTTCCTCACGAAGAGAAACCCTAAATCCCATTAATTGTTATGTACCAAAGTCCTCATCAAGTTGCTGTTCAGCCCTAAGCCTTTTCCTCTAGACATCAGCCAGGCCAGCTCCGTGCTAACCAACACAACGCACTCGTTCCATACCTTCAGCTGGAAATCCCCAGTTCCCTAAGTTTATCCACCACCATCCTGCTGCAGAGCACCGGGTTTAGGGATGCATGTCTGAAACACATCTGCTGGAGACGGTTACAGGGCACTGCTATCTGCCTGCTGGAGATGACAGCCCTCAGCCAGACATCCCCAGGGCCCGCAGGATTCAATGCTCTTCTCCAAAGCAAACACAAATTGGGAGTCTAATCTCTACAAAGGCTGGAAATAAGCTAGTTTAATATTAATTTTCTATTAAAAATTAATAGGATTAAATGAAACTCGCGAGCTGGCAGGCACCAGGAGCACTGCCCCTCTGGCTGCCCACAGGAATAGATGCAGAGGAGGGTGAGGATGGGTTGCAGCAGTGCTGTAGGACTGGAGCTGTAGGGGAAGGGCACTGGGGCCCCATCGTGTGCCACAGCTCCATGTCACCCTGCTGCCAGCAGCTCATCCCTGCTCTACCAAAGGCCCTTTGTTAGCACTGCCTGGCATCCACCCACCCTGCAGCAGGCATGGGGATTCAGAGACCTCCTGATTGCTGTGTGAGGTGGGAATGGCTGCTGGTGCCTTCCTGAGCTCTGCACGGACAATCTTTGGCTGGATGGCTGTAAACTCTGACCTTCCAGCATCAGTGCATGGCACAGCAGCACACCGCATGGACCCAGACACACATCCTGCACGTGTCTGGGGTCAGGTGTGAGCAGGAGGCTCTTGGAAGCATAACAAGGTGTGAAAGGGATGCCACGAGTCCCACAGAGACGTTCCCTTCCCTGATCCTTGCTCTGGACAGCGGAGCTCCTAACAGATCACCCTGGTGACCATGGCAGTGCATCCTCTCCCAGGATCCAGCCTTGCAGGGACTGGTGCCCACCTTCACCCACCTGCAGGCAAATCCCCTTTCTGACTGCCAGAATGAATCACCTTGCCAATAAGCATCCTGCAAACAACCAGAGTTTACATAAGAGAAGTTTAACCTTCAGCTCCTATTAATGTTAACAGAAGGAAGAAAAAATAAAGTGAAGCAGGGCGCAACAAAAAGGTCTGTATCTGCATTTCTAATTATACAACCAAACGCTGCACGTGGTGGTATTTCCAAGCACCTTGCTGGTGATAAAGCAGCAAATGGACTACAGCTTCCATTTTGAGGAGTGGCTGCGAGAGCAAACAGCACTGAGGTTGGCAGCAGTAAGGCAAGGATGTGAGAATTAAGGAAAATAAAGCGGCACATTGAAAG